TACAGTTTTGTGGGATCGCTGTCTAGCACTGCCCTGCAAGGATTTCCCGAACGAGCTCGACACTGACTGCTGGGACCCAGCACTGCAAAGCCTTCAGGTTTGGCCCGGCCCTGAATGCACTCACTCCGTCAGTGCCCTGCTCTGCACACTCGAGTTCACACTGCAAGCTGAACAGCATAGCACCGGCACCGCCAGCATCATGCCACATGTCCCGCAGCCTTTTTTCTCTCAAACGGCTCAAAATGAGACGCCGCTGGGCGCGACAAAAACAGCAGCGCATAGCCTCGGCACCAACATCTCCGATCGAGGTGGAATCCCAGCCAGCATCGCCTCGCAGAAGCTTAACGGAAGATTTTGAAGCACATCTGGCCTCGCTGGCCTCCCAACCTGCATCGCCATGCATTGAAGATTTTGAAGAGCCTACACCAGCCCAGCCTTCGATCACACAGATTTTCGCAAGGCAACGCCTGTTGCAATCGCATCCCAAAACCTCGCCCGCCGCCCGGCACAGCTATGGCGACCTCCCCACAGTAGCTGACTTAGCAATCGGCCCAGGCACGCAGCGTGCATCGCCCAAGCGCAACGCTTTCTACCCACCGGTACCAAGCGCCGACCGGGCACTGCAGATTAACCCGCCACCTAAACGCCACAGGCATGAACCCACACTACGCCTGGGCGGCTTGCCTCCGCCGCCTCCTCCTGCACTGCCGCGCAGTCTCGCAGGCTCTGTGGCCAAGCAGCCGATTCTGCACAGCTCACACAAAAGCCCACCGGCCTCGCCTAGGCCACTGCCCTCGGCCCAGATCCCACTTGCACCTCCCAGGCCTCGTAGGGTAAAATTTAAGACCATGCGTAGCTCCCTGACCTCACGCATGCAAGTGTGCGGTACCCTTTGGCTCCAACTGGTCTACAAGCTCGGCTCTGCCTCTTTACTCCTCCAATCTGTCGAGGCCGCTAAGCAAGCTTCAGAGCATATACTGGCTGTCATTCGCAACAACACGCCAGGCACGCTGGAAAGATATCTCCGCATTGCATCGCTTTTCATGGGATTCTTGGATAGCTCAGCAGTCACTTTCCTAGACGTCAGTCTGCACTGCCTCCTCGACTTTCTTGCCTTGGCCCGCGCCTCGCACAGCCAAGACTTGGAGATCCATCGCATCAGCGCATCATCCTCCATCAAGGCCCTTCGTTGGTTCGTTAAGCAAACGCAATGGCTCTGCCTTAGCAACGCACTCGAGAGCCCTATCATACGGGCATACTCGCTCAAAGGCACTGCCAAGGATCGACGCGAAGCACTGCCCATCCCCTGGGCCCTAATAGCCGCTTGGGAACAACGCGTGTGCGATCCCAACACAGCCTTGACAACCACCGTCGTGCTAGGCGCTGCACTGCTCGCCATACACGCAAGCCTGCGTTTCGGCGACCTGCAACGCATCGACCTCACCAGCCTGGCACTTTCAACAACGGCCCTGCACGGCACGTGTTGGGCCACAAAGACGACAACCCACGGCCAACCGTTTGCAGTCACGCTCGCAGGAATTACTGGACGGTGCACAGCAACCTGCTGGACATTGCACTGGCTATCCGCACTGCACAAAATCATCTCCTCTTCATCGGAGGATCCTCCAGATTTCCTTTGGTTCAGCACGGCACTTGACCAAAGTTCAGTAGACGAAATCGCACCAGCATCTTACTGCACCGCACTGCTTAGCCTCAGATATCTCGCCACATTGCCGTGGAAAGTCAGCGGCAGCGGTCTCTTGCCCAGCGAAGCAAAACAACTCACGCTGCACAGCATGAAGAGTACTCTCCTCGCGGCCGCAGCGCAACTGCGTGTCTACAAAGACTTACGCCTGGCACAGGGTCACCATAGAGACAGTGCCAGGCTCTACAGTAGAAACGACACCTTCGACAGCCTTGACCTTCAGCACCGCCTGGCACAGGCGTTCAGCACAGGTTGGCGACCCAACCGCAGCGTTGCACGGGGAGGGCAAGCGCCCATACCCGAACCTCCCTTTCATCTGCCTCCGGGTGAACCCCTGCAAAGCATCACGCCGCAAGATTGCCTCGCAGGACCATGGAAAGCCTTTGCATCTAGGCACGAAGAACTGCATGCAACATCGCAACAATTGCCTGCACCGACGCAGCTTGACCCAGCAACGCAATCCGCTACGCAAAGCTCGCCCGACATTATCGAGCAATTCTCGCCCGAATCTCCAGACCTGATTGCACCTTTCTCCGACGAAGAAGCCTGGATCGTGGAAAAGGCCGCCCTGCAACGTCAGATCTCCGACTCTTCAAGCGAAGCCTCGTCGGTATCATCCAAAGAACCTCTGCAAATCGATGTGGAAGGCCCTGCACCGCTTTTCGCTTGTACAGGCCCCTGGGGGTGCTGGCACTCTCTATGCCCCCCCGACGAATCGGGCGTGCTGCGCACAGCATGCGGCATCAAGCTGGGCACAGCAGCATTTACATCCAACGCACCGCCACAACCCCTCTGCCGTCGCTCGGCTTGTGTCGCACTTCGCAATGGCGCTTAGATAAAAAAGGGGTCGGACTTTTGGCATGAATCTGTTCCCCCTTCTCCACCGCTGTTCCTGCAAACTAAGGTCCTCGTCGAGTGCGCCGCCCCGCGCTGCACTGCACTGGCTTTTCACTGGCTCAACCCTTGTCCGCAGCCGTTTTCTTGCTCGAATCGCTTTTCAAGCTTCTCTCTAGTCTGCAGAATGGAGTCTCCAGACGCACTCTCGGAACTCCTTTCCCAGATGCAAGTGCCCGAAGCACTTTGCAACGCACTGCACAGCACTGGCATTGAGTCCGTGCCCGATTTTGCTTTTGCATACAACAGCACTGCGGATCTGGACGTCTTTTGCTCCGACAAATATGAAGATCTCTGGGGCGAGTTAGGCATCTCAGACCCTGAGCATAGCCCTGCAATGGCACGCCTACGCAGAGCCCTGCGCCGCGCACAATCCATTACAGAGGTGGCAGATACGCCCACCACGCACAGCACTGAAAGCACAGCCCAAGCCTCACTCAACGTTTGGGCTGAACACGCCCCGCCTCGACTGGACGCATCCAGCATAGCACAGTTGGTCAAAGACTTTCACACCAACTACCCGGGGGAACACCTCGATAGCGACGCCATGCCTAGCGTCCGCTTGCTCAGCATTATCCATAGATGGTTTTCCCCCGGAAATTCCATCAGCTGGGTGCCCTGGCAGCTACGCCTATCAGAGAAGCAATACCAAGAGCTCATTGAGAGCAAAGCATCCCGCACTATACGCACTGAGGCAGCCTTCCTCAGCACAGCACTGTTTGATGACACACCGGAAATGCCGGTAGACCATCTTAGGCTCAGCGCTGCATGGCTTGGCAGAATCCAAACAGTATTCCGCAATGCCATAGCACTGTGCAAGGGAGCGCACCTGCAGCGCCTTAAGGCATATGACAAAAAGATTTTAGATTTGGCGACGCAATCGCCTAGCGACGCATCGCTACGCACAGTTACCACGCAAGAACTAGTAGCGGCAGATCGCAAGCTCTGGAGGGAAATCTCCCTCCTGCACGGCTCCGGATGGACATTGGATGATGCCTTGCATGAAATGACAAGCATCCGCTCTGACATAGGTAACCTTCTACAGCTCAGAGCCCGCCCGCCCCCGCCCCCGCAAAAACCACCGCCTCGCCTCCCTAATAAGGGCACAGGCAAAGGCAAAGGTAAAGACAAAGGCAACAAAGGCAAGCAGGGCACACAACCAGGAAAAAGACGCACTCCTGGAGAAGGCACTGCACAGGAGGTCAAAACCGCTGACCTCGTGCAACAGCACGGCAACAAGACTTTCTGCATCCGTTACAACAAGGGGCACTGCAGAAACGCACAGTGCAAATATTTGCACGCTTGCGCTTATAAGATGCCGAATGGCGAACCGTGCGGCAAAAGCCATCCTGCCTGTCAGCACCGCAACCCGCAAGAGCCGCCCAGCTCCTGAAAACCGCAGCTGGAGCTGGCCGGGCAGGTCCAGTTGCCGTCTGCCACTCCCCCGGTTGCACCGGCAGGGGTCGTCATGCAGGGCGCACCTTCCGCACCGCCTGTCACTGTGGATAGCGCAAAGCATCTGCGCAAAGATGCCAATCTTTCAGCACCCTGCGCTGATCACTCCGCAGCCGCACAAGACGACAATGCCACAGCCTCGCATAGCACGTCTTCGGACTCATCCGAGTCTGAAAATAACATGCCCGAAGCACATAAGCATAGGTTCTTATTGCATAGCCTCGAGGAAGACCCCTTTAGCTGTGATCGCTTCTGCTATGAAGCACTGCCTTCCACTAATAAGCTGGACGACGACCGCTATGCATCATGGCACAGCCTCGTATGGTCGGGAGCGTTAGGCGCAACTGTCCTCTTGTTTCCCGCACAGACATTTGACTTTGATTCTCATGTCAGGATTTGCTCGTTGCTCCGCGCGGCACATCTGCAAGGCAGCCAGGTTTTCTTCGAATATCCACGCACATGCGATGAAAAAACCTCACAGCTTTACATACAGCTGTGTCAGGAACTAGCCGTGCACTGCGTGCACACAAATTTGCCCCCGAGCAACGCTTCGTGTATCATCTGCTCCACGCAACCAGCACTTGCAAGTATTGCAAAGCATACCGATCCATACAAACAACTTTTGGGGCTGGTTTCTCAGGAATGCACATCGCATTTGCAATCCCCCATTAAGCCAGCAGCACTGCAAAAGTTTCTGCCCAGCTGTTTTTTGCCTCGCCGGCCCGCGGTCTGTGACGGGGCCGGCATGTACAGCTCAGCAGATCATTCTGCCAATAATGTAAGCACTAAACCCAAGCCCCTTGCCAAACTAGCTGAAGCCTTTAAGCACTATCTCAATAAGCACAGCCTTGTTTCGCACATTTCAAAACACCTTAAGTCAGGGACAGACTCGCACCCGCTGAGCGAGGAGCATCGCACTGCCCTAGCAAACATATTGCATGAGACGATGGCGCCAAGCACTGACCGGAACCAGTTCCTTAAAGTTTCCGAAGGACAGCCATTTCGATTGACAGCCTTGCAGTACCTCGCACAGGCCATGCAAGACAAAGACGCACAGCTTCCTCTCATCCTTGATGAGGGGGTGCCTACAGGCGCTTTCGGGGCCTTGCCCAGCAGTGGACAGTGGCCACCGACGCAGAGCTCCTTGGACTTTACCGAAGACTTCAGCCCCGCTTCGCTGGAGCACTGCAGAGGCAACTGGTTCCTAGCCGAGAGCAACCCCGCTCTGCTAAAAGAACTAGTTGAAGAAGAAGTACGCAAAGGCTTCGTAGCAAAATTCGAAGGCACAGAAGAAGACGCAAAACGCCAGTGGCCGCAAGGCACCGCAATAGGCAAGCTAAACATTGTCATGGCAGAAGGGCGAGACCCCCGCCTCGTCCTAGATAGCACGATATGTGGCCTTAATCCGGCAGTGCACCTGCCCGAAAGAGTGTCTCTGCCCAATGTATCAGATGTACAACGCACCTTCCTGCATGACGACTGCTACGCACAGCTACACGCATTGTCACTAGATTTTAAAGCAGCGCACAAATGCTGCAAGGTTCATCCCGCTGACCAAGGCACCTTGTTATTTAGAGTAGGCAAGGACCTTTACTATTATAAAGTATGCCATTTTGGGGCACGCTTCTCAGCCTATTGGTGGCAACGCACAGGCAGCTTACTGCTTCGTTGCATTCACGCATTGCTATGCGATTTTCCACATCGAGCATGGCTATATGTGGATGACCTTCTTGCACTGCTCCGCGCATCGGATAAAGACCTGGCAGCGGCACTTGTGGTTGCACTGCTCGCTGCACTAAACGCACTGATTAGTTGGAAAAAAGCACAGTTCTCGCAAGAAGTCACATGGTGCGGATGGACCATACGCACTGACGCGGAAACCATTGAGCTCCGCGAGCTCAAGCTTCAAAAGCTCCGCGAGCAGCTCGCTGCCCTGCAACAGCGCAGCAAAGTACAACGCAAAGAACTAGAGGGGGTATTAGGCCTTCTTAATTGGGCTACGTCACTAAGTAAGCACATGCGGCCTTTCATGGCCCCGCTTTACAAAGATTTGCACAGCTGCAAAGGCACTTTGCACAGCATTTCGCCAGGCATGTGGGGTAGTTTCTTAGACAGCCTTGACAAAAACGCAAAACTCACTCGCACCCCTGCAGGTACTTGGCTGCCTCGCAATGCACAGCTTCTTGAAGTTGGCAGCCTCAAAATATCTTGCAAAGCGGACGTACCACTAGTTCCGCCATCGCACAAGCACCAATGGCTACGCCTCGCTGATCCGCATCGCTCTGAGGTGCACTTACGCCATGAAAGTAAGTTCGTGCTGTCTTGGCTCCAGCACTGTTTCTCGCATGAACAGCCTCGCTCTCTACGCACAGCGCCACGCATGCATTGCTACAGCGCTGCAGATGCTTTTGCAGACACGCATCGCATGGGCATCGGGGGGTGGATCAGCACGTCTGATTCCTTCCTTTGGTTTAGCGGCATTTTCTCAGCCGAGGAGGTGCGAAAGCAATGGCCGCAACTGCAGGGCAGCCTGCAGCCTTATATAGGCTGCTTCGAGTCCCTCGCTCAGCTCGCTTTAGCACAGTGCTCCTGGCAATTATTGCGCAGCAAACAAATACGCTTCGTGCTGCCCACAGCCTCGGACAATACGAGCGCAGAGTCAGGCCTCAATAAGCTCTTTAGCACTGCAGAGCCGCTAGGAACCTTCCTACGCCTCGCAGCAACCTGGGCGCACTTGCACCGCGTGCAATTCGAGGTAGAACACCTCGCAGGTGAGAAAAACGTCTGGGCGGACAAGCTCAGCAGGGGCTCTACAGCCTTTCTTCAGCATCGCAGCGCAGATAAAGTTGAGATAACGCTCGCACAACTTGCGTCGGCATCGCATTGCGTAACGCTACATGATCACTCTTTCAAGTGGCCGCAACCGCTACTTGACGCACAGCACGCCATGCTTAAATGAAGGGAAAAAAGGAGCGCTTCTCTGCTTTCACTCTTACTTGGTAGCCGCGCTGCCTAGCTTTCTTTTTCAGCCCTGCCTCGCCAGGTACATCCGCGATCTCGCGCGGTGAGGGGCATTTACAGCAGAGATTAAGGATGCACCTGAAGTGGGGGACAGCTCGGCATCGCATGCCTTCTTTCTCCTACGGCGAGCAATGCCTCGCAACGCATCGCATCCTTTAGCAATCTCTGCGGTAAAAAAGAGGATTGTAGCCAGTACGCTCTGCCCTGCAATCCGTTTCTGCATTCGAAGTAGAATAGAGAACGCTAGTTGTGAGTTTGTTTTTTGTATCAACTGTGTTTTATGTTCTTGTGTCGAATGTAACCGCTGCTTTGCATTGTTTTCGGCACAAGCTACTCACAACTAGTTCGTTCATGCTCAGCATCGCATGCTTCAAGCTTTTTTCACCCACCCTCCACGCCCTGGGGGACAGCTCGGCATCGCATGCCTTCTTTCTCCTACGGCGAGCAATGCCTCGCAACGCATCGCATCCTTTAGCAATCTCTGCGGTAAAAAAGAGGATTGTAGCCAGTACGCTCTGCCCTGCAATCCGTTTCTGCATTCGAAGTAGAATAGAGAACGAGCCTGTGCTCAAAAGCTTGCTTTTTTGAGGTGGTCCGAATGTCGCCTTGAAGGCTGAACTGTTGCTTTCCTTGGAAAGCCTTTTCGAAGTCCTTGAGAGTGTTGGGAAATGATTTTCCTTGCCGTGACTGCGTTAGTAAGTGAGCAGTTGTGGTTCTGTTTGGGCTAGTTTTGAGTTGGTCCCGAGAACTTCCACCAACGTTTCAGGCAACAACAAGGGCCGAGTGCTGCTGGGCAGTCCAGACGAATCGAGACGCACCACAACGAAAAGGTTTTGGGATCTTAAAGAAGATTTGAACGGACAAAGTTCAAGATTCGGCGCTCTCTGACGTTTTTGCTTTGTTTCTATTGTTGGTCTCAAATCAAACAACAATCTCCGTCGCTGGAAGTTTCAGTCTTTGTAAAAGCAGGAATTTCTGAACATTTTAGATGTATTGTGTGAGTGACTTGTTGCAATTTTGAAACGGGCTCTCCTTTGCCGTACTTTGCAGCGAAGCCATTAGGTTCGAGTTTGACAATCGACTCTGGATGAATATTTTCCTTTTTCAATTCAAGCATGAGGAGGCATCATGACATCTGGCATATCGTTTGAGTTTGAGCGATGTCGAAGTCCATGTCGCAACCTTGGTGCAAAAAAAGACAAGAGATAAAACTTGGAACCAACTTGTTTCAATCTCCGGCCTGAACTTAAGTTTGTTCATTTGTGCACACGAAGTGGTTTCCTTTTCATTAATTGTTCAGAAAATGTTTGGCATGGCCTCGAGGTGTTGATGTTTGCGTTTCTCATTTGCAATATAATTGAATTGTGGCGGAGATTTGATCTCCACGTCCGATTATGTAATCAGGATGCTGACAATGTGCGTTATGTGTGATGCCAAATATACCGCGTTTAAATAATCAATACCGAGATCAGACCAAACAGAATGAAGCTATATTGAATCAACGTCGGAGTTAATTTGCCAACAAATCTACATGTTTGCAGAATTTAGCAAAAGTGTCTCACATTCGATTTTCCCGGAACAGACGCCTTGGAAAGCTATTGAGTACAAGTTTCAGGCCAGCACAAGGTTCGGACAGTTATTCAGCAAACATGTTTACTGTTGGACTTTGCAAATCATGTCTCATTTTATCAGGGTTCATCTTTAAAAAACATTCCGGTTCGGTTGGGAACGTCTGATGCTTTTGTTGCATCGTTGGTGCCGCCGGTTTGTGCAGCTGTTCCAGGCCAAATGTTGCACGTTCAACAGCTCATGTAAGCATTTTGCCGCAATTGGGTCCATCAGTCAATGGTTAATGCTTGTGGCGTTTTTATCTTTGCATGTTTGCGGTCACGATGCCAACAGATACTTGCATTGGGCCAAACGTAAACATGTAAAGTCTGTGTGCATATGGCGACATCATGCATCATGTTGTGATCAGTGCCTGCTGCATGAATTCGTAATTGGACACGCAAGCTGCAATGCTGTTGCTTGAGCGGGTGCCTCAGTTGCCGGAATTTGAGTCCAGCTTTCGACAAATTGTGGTCCATAGCAATTCAAGATCTTTCTTGGAAGTTTTTGTTCAGTCTCCGCTGAGTCGTGCTTGCAATTCCACATGTTGAAGCAGACAGAAGAAAACCAGGAGCACGCAGTCATACGCAGTCCCAATTATTGCCAGGTAGACTTGAAACCACAATATGTATGTTCATGGGCTGAATTGGGCTTTCGCGACATTGAAGGCGTGACCCTTTGGTGTCGGAGCTTTCGCAAGAGCGTGCTGCGCTGGGCTTGTGGCCGACTGAGAAGGGAGATTGTCCCTTCCTGTTAGTTGCTTGTCGTTAGCATGGAGGAATATGTTTTTGTGGTGTTCTGTGGCAGAGGCTTGGGCCTAGACGAGCCACATTGAAGCTTTGGGTGGCGGTCGTTGTATGATGCTCAGAAGCATGGCAGTTGCTTTCACTGCATGGTCAGCTGCCAACCTTTCCGAAGGGTTCGATTCGGTTTGCTGGCAGCATGAGTTGGGGCGTGGCCGACTGTCTCCTGCCTCCATTCATGGCAGATGCTCAGGCACTGGTGGTCCACTCCTTGGAGAGTCGTAGTTTTTGTTAGCTGTTTTGTGGTTTGTTTTTTCATCAGACGGTCATGCCAACCAGTCAAGTATCAGACATGTTTACTTTTTGCGAAAGTGTCGAGCATCGTTTGTAATCTCAGCACTTCGACCGTGGGGCCGCGACAGTGGCAGCGATGGATGCTGCTGGCTAAGTTCAATTGCCGCCTCTGCAAACCTTGTGGGTATGTGCTGTAGGGGCAGGTGCAAGCTAAGCTTGTGCTGTTGAGCATGAACTTCAATCGATCGGCGACCTTCAGAAGCAAGCGAAAGGTTTCCAATTGGGGCCATGCTGACTCTCACGGTGCATCCTTCGGACATGCTGTCGGAAGCCTACGAGTTGGCGCAGATCCACTGGCCTTTCGCAGACCTGCACCGCTCGGGATGTCCGGGTCTCGGCACAAGGCAAGCCTGGCGTTGATTTTCCTCTCTGAGGTGGTCTTACTCGCCTGGCACTCCATTGGATTGGCAGTCGGCAACAGCTTGGCCGGCTCCTTCTTCCAACAGGCGCCGTGCCTGAAGGGGGCCCACGAGATGGCGCACTGCTTGATGCTTCTTGTCCTAACCTTCGCAGGCATCCGCAAAAGCAATGCTGCTCATGGGTCTGACGGCGAGTCTGACTTTCTCTCTGGCATTTGGCCTGCAGGAGATTTCAGGGAGAGCCCTCGGGACTTGTTTCCGGGCTTTCGTCCAGGCGGTTTTTTTGCATGGAAGGAGAGCCCGGGAGTATTCATCACGGCGGCCGGGACCTTGCGCAGCAGCATGCAGCAGCACAACTCTGCAAGTTGCATGAACCTTTCCCCGTATACTCACTTTGTCACAGCCCAATTCGTTGCTGACTTCAGGTCCTCCGTTTGGGGTCTGGAGTCGCTGCAGCGCGCAGCAGTCCGGTTTGAAACTTGCTGTTTGCTGCGATTTGCTGTGATTCTCGCGGTTTACATGCTGGGGAAGCCGATCCTGCGCTGTGGATTTCCGAGCCCAACTGATGCCATGTCAGCCAGGCTTCCTCTCGTTTACCTACCATTCTGGGCATGGGTCTTGGCCTGCGCATCGTCGTCCAACACACCATTGTGCTCGTTGTGAGGTGGATGAGTTCTCTCCGCCAGAAGGGCATGGTCAATGGATGTCCATCGTACAGACGGGCGTCCCGATTGGGCAGGCAGCGCAAGCGTTGCATAGGAGGCAGTGGCGAAGTTTTCGGTTTGCCGCCCCAGTTCTGCGGTGTCCTCGCGGGCGCGGTGGCAGAAGATCAGCGAAGCTGGCGAACTGCCCTGCTGGGCCAGGCACGACCGCCGGGAAGTGTCCACCGACATTCCGGTGATTTTCGGCTTCCCCAAAGTCTTTAAAGCAGCAACGACAGTGTAGTGTCGACGGTAATGTGTGCGTTCGGAACGTCTTAGCGATGTACTTGGTGTACGTCGTTGCATCCGTGTGACTCCGTGAGTGCCTTTTGTGCCAACTCTCGGAGGCGGTGCTGCTTTTCCTCGCCCACGACCCGGAGTGAGAATGCGTGTCTGTTACCGTTCCGTTCCGGTCTGGCTTTTGGGCTTGGGGCTTGCTGAGCTTGCTGGTTCTAGTTGTCCTGGGCCGGAGGCTGAAGCCACAAGATCCCACATTGGTGACGCGAATCGATTTTCGTGAGGTGCTACTGCGATTAGCGATCATTCCTGCGCAGCAGGTGGGGCTCGCGCGCCGGGAGTTTCTTCTGCCAACTCACGACCAGTCGCTGGCACTCTATGCTTCATACACTTTCACCAGTTGAGATGGGCACGTGGCAGAGTTCTAGATTCTAGATTCTGTTGAATTCTTCCCCGCAGTCCGTGTGTGTGTGTGTGTGTGTGTCAGCTGTGTCAGCGCAGCAAGAGCAAGCAGAGCAAGCTGAGCAAGAGTGCTGCAAGAGTGCGCTTGGTAGCAGATTGATGCGGCCAATCAGTCGCTGACCGCCCGGCTCAGCGCTCGGTCAGGTCACAGGGAAGGGTGACACATCTCTGTCGGTCTATGAAGCTGTACGGCTGTACGTATGGTTGAAACATCTAGATCCGAAGAGTGGGTCATCATGCTGAGACTGCCTGAACTGCCAAGCCAATCCATGTCAGGACAAGTTCCAGATTCCCAGTTCTGGCATGAAAGGGGTTAGCGTAGTGTGCATGAAGATACAGCCTCATTGCATGTAACTGAATTGCTGAAGTGACTTCTCGACTGTGGTGGCTCTGGCTCCTTTCATCCAGCTTGTAGTCAGGCTTTTCCCATACAACAGTGTCAGATGTTTTGATTGCAAGAGAGAAGTAATATGGTCTTCAGCGCGATTTGCTTCTTAGAGTAAGCGGAGCCAATGAGCCACTCCCATGTGCTGCAATTGGGCCACGATTTCAGTCTCTTGAGGTTGGATTCTTTGGCTTTGCATTCGCCGGATGCACAGCTTGGGTCTGGGACCCGGTCGTGAGCGCAGCGTGCACAGGGCATAGGGCTTGTGAGACTTGCACAGGGTTCTTTCACAGTAAGCAAGGATTAGAATCAATGCCCCGGACCTAGGCGATTGCAGAACTTAATGCGGGAGCTGCGAGAGATGCTTCAAGGCTCCAGTCCTTGCGGCCTCACAACCTCGAAGCAGATGAGAGGGACGGGACCCGGGTCCTGTTTGCAGACTTTGAGAATGGTGAGGTGTGAACAGGAATCCTCTGACCCTGTCACTCTCGAGCGTGCCAGGAGCTAAGCTTACGCGAGAGCTGAGATCATCGTGTAGCTTCGCTGTTTGAAGGCTCTGCCTTCTCCACGCCACGGGTGCGGGTCTTGCTCTCTGGACAGCCCCGTCGCTTCTCGGCGCTTAGAGGGCCCGTCCCCGTGCCCAGCATGCCCTTAACACGTGTCGTGGTCAGGTATCTGGCACTTAGTGATGGGGCGCCGTCGCCCCTGGCTCCCAGCTTGGCTTGTAGTGAAACTGCGGGAAGATGAATAGAAGTTATGCCGAAACCTCTTGGGTCCAAGGTGTCCTTGATGTTGTCTGCCTTGATCCTTTCCTGCTGCCCTGCGGCTGGAACGACCCATCGGCATGATTTGTTCATTGCTGATGTCATGGAAAGAGTTATTCTAAGGTGAGGCGCTTGTGCACTTCAATCATCAACAGAGTGACCCAGCCTTTTCACTGCTTTTTTTGCAGTTACATTGGGGCAATCGCCTGCTATCGAGTGGATGGCTTTAAGGCCAGCCGCTCGGTGCATTGTCTGCAGTGTGTTGGGCATCTTGAGTTGACACTTGACAGGCTGGAATGCATGCGGTGTGGATCTTAGTGTCTGCACGCCACTGCTCAACAGCTGGGTCTCCGAAGGTCCAGAGGGTTTCAAGAAGAGGTTTAAATGTTTGGACAGTCGCTTGTCTATGAGATCCGCCGCCGAGGCATACTGACCAATCTAGCAAACTTGCCTGTGACACCTTCACGCCCGGTGTGCGATAGGGAATGCAGGGGGCTGTTCCGCTTAGGTGGCCCTTCGTGTCGCCTGCGCATTTGCTGCGCTGGCGGCGCTCTGCGCTCCATTGAACAGCGCCTGGACGTTGGCAGGGCAGAGGTTGCAAGTTGATGTCTGGATTGTTAGGGGAGATCTCCGGCACATTGTACAGTGAGGCTGCTGAGGTGCAGATGCTTGGATGTCCGCGCTTCGTCTCTCGTCCGGTGCGAGGATAGGCTTTCGGAATTGCAAAGAAGCGGTCATTGACGTGTGCTCAGGCGCATCTTCAAGCTTTATCCTCCGCCTCTTTCTGGTGGCATGTTGGCTTTTCAGTGCAGGCCAACTGCGACGGGATGCGTGTTTTCTGTGGACATGCTGCTGAAAACGGACATTGGAGCAGGTGCTTTGCTGCCAATCTCGGCGGGCCTGCTAATGACCTCCATGCCATCGCAGAGGGCTTAACTGTTCGGCTAGGCGGCAACGACAGCGGACACAACCTGCAAGTAGCAGAGCTTCGAAGAAGAGAGATGTCTCACAGAGTGTGCTATCATCTTCTCCAAAAGGTCTTACTGGTAACTGTAGTTCTTGCATAGGCACAGCCCATGTTTGAAAACCTCAATTCTTGAAGGACATCAGTAGCATCAGCACTCGTCTTTCCTTCAATGAAGTCGAGGAGACACCTCGAGCCAGAACAGCGGCAATGTGCCCCAAGTCAGTACATGCTGATCCGTGGACAAGGTACCTTAGATCGTTCTCGTCGGCATCTACTGTTCTGGCCAGGGGCTCGCAACACGCTGTCTGCCGTAATGTGCTCAATTGCCGCACTGTAACGTTCCAGAACAATTCTGTAGGAGCCTGTTCGAAGCTGGTGGATGTAAAAACCCAGTCCGCGCAAGATATGTAGGGCATGCATGTATGTGTGCATGCATGAATATGCGCATGTGTATGTGTTCGCGTGTCTGTCTGTCTGTCTGTCTGTCTGTCTGTCTGTCTGTATGTACGCATGCACGGAGTGCTGCCTTTTTCAGAAAACATGTGGATTTTTACAAACCATGGTTATGGAAAAGTTTCTTCAGAACCATGTCGCAGTTTTTGCGAAAATGTTTAGGGTCTTTTTCAGAAATCGTGCCGCACCATTTAAGAGAAGGCCTACTTTTGTATTTCTAGGCTTGGTGCAAATGCATGGGGCCTGGGTTTAGGGTTTAGGACCTATGCGGATCCAGAGTGGGGCCCATGGGGTTTAGGGTTTAGGACCATATGCATTGCCAAGGTTGGTATACATGCATGGGGTTTAGGCTTTAGGGCCCATGCTGACGAATTTCCGCGTTTTACATACAGCTTCTGAAAAAATTGGTGTTCGGAAATAATCCGTTTCATGTTTCTGTATGTTTTCTGGAACATCCCATCACCCTGTGTGCATGTATTTATGTACATGTGTATGGCGAAAGTTACAAACGAGCACCAGCACAAGCACCGGCACCAGGTTTCTGCATTGCTCTTACGGTCATGCGGTCGGCAAAACTAATTTAACACGTACTTTTGATGGCATGCATTTTCCCCTGCCAAGCCGTCATCAAAGCCAATGTAACACGATGTCAGACAGATTGCACAGGCTGTGACTTTTCTATTTCGATGCATGTTTGCTTGATCAGGTTCTGCACGTTATCAGCTTCTCTGTGCTTCGCTCAGCATTGATTGATTCCGTGTCGCAGTCGTTCATTATGTCTGTCTCGAGGTGCCTGTCCAGCCTCTGACAATATGACAATATGCTGTCTGCTGAGGTGATGCCGGGTGTTGCTGCAGTGCTCATGGGTAGCTGCCTGAAAAGTCTTCGTGGTCCATCGGTATTGATTGGTTGTGACACGCTCATATGACTCATATGTGCTTTTGCTATTGCATTGTCTGGCGCCGAGGCTGCTTCATACGCCCTGAAAAGGCCAGCTGTGCGCCAGATCCGCTGGGAATTCCGTAGTTTGTTAGGAACCCGGGAAGATTCAACTGGTAAAGAGAAGGTATCGCTGCGCAAAGCCCCTGTCTTTGGTAGCTCTTCAGGCTCAGGAGAAGTTCCTCACTGTACAGTTTAGTCATGGTGGTTTGCTGCCAGCTGTCATCGCCTAAGCCGGAAAGTTGCTCCATTCTTCGCCAGCACAAGCCCATCGGACGACAAGAATACCTGCAGCTGACGATCTCGGATGTAGCCTCCTATGAAGAAGGCCGTCGGGTTAGAAAACTTGAAGATCAAGGTTGAACGGAATCAGTAGTTGCGGGAGGGGCTGGTTGTTGTGCTGAGTTTTCAGTAGACCCGGGATATGCTACCCTGGCATTCCACTCATGTCCCAAATCAAGACTGAAGGTGCGAGTGTCACATCGGACATCACAGGGCCGTCCGGATCCTTCCGATGCCGCTTAAGGGTTTTTCCGCAAGGGACTGCGGGTACGGAAAGCTCCGTGTCAAATGCACTGGCAGCATTCGTGGAAATCATTCCTCCGCCTTCCGCCGTGAAAGAGTCGTGCTGGGTGTGCAAAGATGTCGAGTTCGGCATCGCTGTCCGCAGAAACGTTGAGAGCCACGCTGCGGAACTTTCCAAGACAGATATCTTCAGCTTTGACCAGGATCAGGAAGACCGGGGCTGGCATGACCTCATCCGTTGGAATGACAACAAGTGGACTGCGACCACCAGCATCAACATATGTGCGGAGGTCAGAGGCCTTCCTGTGGCAGATGCACTTATATCGCACTTGCAAGGGGTATCTTTCGAAGATCAGCTGCAGCCTGTGTCTTTTCACCTGTCTGCGTGCACGCTCTTCTTTGATCAACGACTGCTTGTGGCCAGGTCAGACTACTTTCGCGAGATGTTTGCACAGTCAAAGTGGATAGAGGGTCAGACCAAAGAAGTGGATCTTCGCTCAGATCCGCTGGCAACAAAAGCAGCGATGAGTGCAATACTGCGCTATATCGTCTCGGGCTCCTTCCGTGCCGATGGAGACGTGGACTTCGCATTTGCGGTGCGTTTCCTGGCAGACAGGTACTGCTTGAAGGAGCTTGTTCAGCTGGCCGAGTCTGAGTTGTGCGCAATGCTTTGCCCGGAAAACGCCTTGAGCTTCTTGGGACGTTTGAGTGCTTTAAAGAGCTCCAATTGTCTAGAGCCGGCATGCTGGAAGATGATCCAAGCCGATGGATGCAAGTTGCTGGAGCAGCAGGAGCATCAACTTAGCCAGCTCATCGAGGAAAACCCCGCAGTGGCCAAGCAGCTCATCCTCCTGAATGTCAGAAGCAAGAAACGTGCACGTGAGTGATTTGCGTCGTTTGATTTCCACTTGGACTCTCAGATGCTAGAGGCCGCAACTCTGCCTTGCCTCTTGCATTGCAGGCCACATGTTCCGGGGTTGGGGATGCGCTCCGCCGAGCCATGAGATAGAAAAAGCTGTGATACAACCGACTCAGGGAGTCGTCATGCGTGTGTTTGAGAGTATCACCGATCCCGAAAAGTTGGCAGCAAGCGGAGCAGGATGTTTGTGGTTCAGCCTTGCTTTTCTTTTGTGCTTTCACGATTGCTTGGGTTCGATGACTAAATCTAAGGCTTGTAGACGACCTGCAGACATTTTTGCAGGACCCCACCTCCAACATGTGTCATGCTGGCCTCCACCAAAGATCTTCAGATCAACATTTGCAAAGTCCACGAAGCTATACAGGAGCACCGGCGCGTGGGGTTTATAGGGTTCCGCGTTTAGGTTTGAGCGTTCAACGCGACTGACTGCTGTGGTGCAAGCAGTTCTGGTCTAGGTCGGGGACTATCCGTTTGCAAAGGTTGTAGGATTAGGGATTCCGGTTTAGGTTTCAGGTGTTTACTGTCTGGTGAAAGCCCCGAAGGGTTTTCGGAATGATGACCCTGGACTACGCCGAGCTTTCGCTTGTGGTCCCACAATCCTCCATGCCGGCGTTCCACAGTCGGCGTGTTGATGGGATTTGGGGGCGCGGTCAGATTTCTGGCTTTGCGACTGATGGCTGCACGATGCTTCATATGCTTCCATCGGCCACGAGGCTGCGATTTCCAGGAGTGGCCCTTGGACGGCAACGTACAGTAACTCAGTAGCCGCTAGCCCCGAGTTGCCAAACGAGAATCCTGGTCCCAAGACCCCTAGGCCCTACTGCCTCGACCCTAGACCCCTGATCACAGACCCCAGACCGTGGACTTTAGGCCCACCCTAGATCCTCCACCCCAGACGCTGCCTTGGCCGTCCGTTAGCCGCTTCCGTCCGTCGTAGCTGCCGTTTGCATGTCGTGCCCCTGCCTTCCTGGTAGCCTGGTGAGCCTTGCGTTCTGTTGCAGGGCCTCAGCTTTGGCGTCGGCCTGATGCTTTGGGCAACCCTCCCAGCAGCTGCTTGGCAGAGTTTTTTTGGCCTTGCTATTGACATGATACTATTTGCCATGTCGGCGTGCGATTGTATCCGACGCGGGTATCCTCGTTGTTCAAGAGACTACAACACACTGGGGCTTTCAGCTTCCCGCTCTCTCAGGCAATCTTGCTGCTGTTTGCGTATGCGCGAGAGCCCAAGGCCGAGCCCCCGAGTAGCCCCGTCGCCTTGGTCTGAGCTGCGTCCGCGTGCAGACGCAAGGGCCGCAGCTGGGCGCCAGAAGATCTTTGGCCCGAGAGTTTTCGGTTGCCTCATGCCTCTGACCTGCCTGCATGGGGTCCAAGAGTGGTCCAAGTGTTTGAGGTTCGGGGCTCTCAGGCAATAGATACCACAGCAAGTGCGAAATCAGCAAGAGTTGAACGAAGATGCGCCCTTCGGAAGCTTGTTAGCGTTGGCAATCCCGTGTTCTGTTTTCTGCGGGGCCAGCAAGTACGAAGATACTTGCTGGGATAAGCCATGCCTTTCAGTTAAAACGCCAGCGCTCACTGAAGCAGCAGTCGCCTTTCACTCAACATCCCACGTGATCGTGCTCGAGAAGGAGGCTTCACTACGCAGAGGTTCTTGTGTCATTTTCCATCAGTTTCTGCAGATCGACTGAAACCTCTTTGTAACTTCCCTACAGCTTCCGGGAAGGCAAAATATCCGAGTTGTCAGATTCGACTAGAAGGTTTTGAGCACATGAATTCGGAACGCTTTACTGGCTAGCTCGTAGTGTAAAGCCGGCGAGTCTCCAAACCTGGGCAGGGCTCGGGTCCTGCTGGCAGCCTGTCGGGCGTGGATGCCTGGAGCCCGGCCATGTTAGAGTTTTCAGATTCTGCTGCTGCACACTTGCAGTGAAGTGAAGACGGTGCTCAGATGGGGTGTCTAATCCTGTTCCTGGCCTCATCAGTGTGATCAGAGGAAGACGTTGATGATGTCGGCGGTTGGACACAACCGCAGACCTAGGACTTGACCTTTAGCGACATCAGCTACGAGCTGGCACGCAGGCTTCGAAGATCCGCGACAGGTTTGCTGATGATGACGACAGTGCATGTGGTGGCAGTTTCAGAAAGTGAAGCCTCAACAGCAACTCCTCTATTGCCAAGCTGGGAGGCGAATGAGCACCTCGCCTCTTTGAGCCCGAATCTTTAGACCTCGAATGAGGTGTGCAGCCTTGAAAAGAGTTGTTTCAAGCCAGGGGGGTCATTTTGCAGATCTCGGGAGGTTGTCACAAGGACAGAGAGGACAGATGACTGTAAGTTGAGGGTAGTTCGGCTGCCGCAGCCATTTCGGCCCAGTAGATCCCGAGCACGACAGATACCTGCTTGGGACCGGAAGTGCAGTCCGCGGCCTTGCCTTCGTGTGACTTCCGAGAGAAGTTTCAGCATTCCGAGGCCGTCATGGGAAACGCTTGCTCCGACGGTTGCTTTGGCATGTGCTGGCCTTGGGTGAGGGTAACTGGCGGAGAGATGGCACTGGCCCCCGGGCCTCCGGCCCTTTCCCTGGAAGGTTGGGCAGCAAAAAGGTCTCCCAGCTGCGAGCCTGCAAGCAGGCCTGCGGCTCCTACCGCCTGAATAAAAGCTTCTCGCAGCGTCGAGTGAAGTTAGTATTGCCTCTGGCAGCGGCTTCGAGAAAGGAGAGCTGCTATGAGTGAATAAGCAGCCGAGTGCTGCTCTGAAAAATGCAATGTGGCTGTCGCGATCTGGGATTTCTTCCTTACCCGGCGACCGATGTTGCAGCACCTGGTACAATCTACTTGCGTCGCTCCTGTTCTGCCTTCTGCTTCAATTGCTCCCATGCATGCAACAACGATTCTGGCGAAAGGACTGAGCACCCAAGGCCTCTTGTCCGAGGAAGGCTCAAATGATACAAGACTGTACAGCCAGTACAGTCTTGCGTGACCGACTGGTGTTGCAAGGGGGGTTCTCACGAAAACGTTGAATAGCTACGGTTAGAAGGTTGTGGGGAACAAGACGGGGTACTCTGTCAGCGAAGCCTCATTCCCTTCTTTAGGAGCTGTAGTTGCAGCAATTTGGCGATCGATAGAACAGCCTGTACAAACATCCAGCGGAGCATGTGCTTGCAAAGGTGCACTGAAATAAATAGCATGATGCCAACTACGACATGCAGCCAATAAGGGCTTGCCATCTCGTGTGCATGTGTAGTACGCGGGTCCGATGTTGCAGGATCTCAAGAAGTTCATCGACAGCAAAAACTGTCACCCGAAACTTGGCAAGACGGCTTGTGCGTTGCTCGTCATCATCCTTCTCCTGAAACGGTTGAGCGGCACAAGAGGGGCGCTTGGAGGTCTTGTCGTGAGTGGAGCACTGCTCGCGATAGTTCCGTTCCTTCTATTAGGATTATGGTACGCTTGGCGTGGCATGCCCGGCCGGCATGCTTGTCAGTCGGGTGGGCCGATGTCCAGCTTTGGCCGCTTTGCTTTTTCGTTGGGCCAGGACTCTGGCACCTACGATCAGTCCGGGACTCGAAATGTTGGCAGATATGCGGCTTTTTGGAGAGAGATGTCGATGATCTCCTATTGCTTGGAATGAAGGGCTGATCGCTGCTCTTCTAAACGTCCGAAATCCGTAGTTACCGGCATGCTGCCAGGCGTATCAAAGACTTCCCGGAGCGGGGCGGCGCCAATGGTTCTTGCCTCACTCTATCTTCACATGTTGTTGGCGTGGAAGGTGTTTGTAAGATGTGAAGTCATTGGACTTTTAACCCAGCGGATACGGCCTGCATCAAGGTGCAATCAGATTCGCGGGTGAGATGAACTTCGGCACGGATCTGAAATCTCGTTTATCAGTCCAAGTTTTGCAGAAGCACAACTGGAGTCCTGGAGTCTGGTCTTACAATGTACAATCTGATGCAAGCAGCTTGACTGTTGCGGATGAGTTGGTGCCATGACATTCGTCAGGGGCCAACGCCGGCCTGGACAAAGCAAAAGGCGAGGCAGCTCTAAATGCGCAGCGAAGAGGGACTGTTGGGAGTCAGAAAGCGTTGGTTGGTCTGGGAATTGACTTTATACTCCTTTGGGTTTGTATCTTATGCTTATGCTGTCCACTCCCAGGTTTCATTTCGTGGTTTTTCTCTTTGTGGTTGTGGCTTCTCTGTTTATGCTGTTTCTGCAGTTATGGTTGTGGGCTTATGCGAACCAGACTTTGCTTTAATGTTCGGGGATGCCTGCGGTGACTGGACCCTGCGAGCTGTAACAGGCCGACTGAAACCGGCAGCGCCCTAAATCTGCAATCTCAGCATAATAACAAGCGAGGATAGCAGAAAGAGATGAGCAGTAGTATAAAGACAAGACACATTCAGCATAGGCAGAAAAAGCTCCAGCATCAAAGAACGAACGCAGGTCCAGCATAAAAAAGATACCCCCCGCCTGCCAGCATAAGAACATGCGAGGGTAGCATAAGATGCGGGACTACCTATACAGGTACTGACGTCTGTGTCACCGCACATGTAGATCCTTCCAAACGTAGAAGGCCGAAGCAGAGTGCAAAGCTTAACCTTCAGACACTCGGAGCCCTTCTCGTGAGCCTTGTGTGTGAAGGCTTCCTCGATGACTTTGCCAAGAAGTATCCCGAAGCACTGCTCTCAGGGCTCGGAAGGCCGCATGCAGTTCACTATGGGACATCATTGCACGGTACCGATCCCTGATCTTCTGAGCTTGTAGAGTCGCACACTTTCCTAGATTTCCTGGGCCGATCTGATCCAGCTGGCGTCCTGATCTCAGCACTGAGCACTCAAGAAGCTTATGCATCTTCCTTCTTCCAAGAGCTTTTGGAAAACCTCTGGGCGATCAGTGGGAGTGCACAGTGTGCATTTCGCAGGTCTGCCGTTGCCATCGAGTGTGCTGGTGGCCCTGTCATTGACATGAAGTGCGCTGGAATCGTCCTCACCCAGCATTTTCGTCAGCCGTATGGAAGAATGGAACTTGAGTGCAGACGATGATCCGAAAGCCGCTGACCACGAATGCCAGAGTCTGAGAAGGAAGCCTGCAGGTCAAGAACTTCTCGGCATGGTCAGAGAAAAACCGCTGGCGGATGCCCACGCAACCACAGCTCATGTCTTCCTAGTTAAAGCTTTCAGCGACCTTTCCCAACGTTTATTTCGAGGCTAGTCGAAGCGGGGCGACTGTGGAAAGGGATGCTGTAGGGTTCTCGCAGGATGTGGCTTGTGGACATGGGTCCACGGCTTTTGACGCAGTTCCCTCTTGTGTTGCTTCTTTGGCGAAAATGTGCTTTCCATCTCCTGCCGGTTTCTGAAACCCATCGGTCTCTCGGACTCCTGTTCCGTACGATTTGTGTGGCCAGTCCCGTCGTGCTGATGTGCGATGCGTGTTTCCACCGCGCTTCGTCCATGCTGGCCCAGATCATGGCACCCATGAGACTCTGCTCTCTTGTGTGCCCTTGACAGTCCGGATGACAAACTTGGTGGGGAAATGAGTGCCATGAGACGGGCCTGACGTAGCTGCAGATTGCAGCTCGTAGCACTGGTGATAGGATATGACAGTGGATTGCAGGTACGGACGCGTGGCAGTGACGTCTGACAGCGAGTGCGTCAAGTCAGCATCCAGGGAGGCGTGTAGTTTCTGCATGCTTCTATTTCACTTAGACTTTGCAAAGGGCCAAAGCCATCTCTGCTTCAGGGCTTCTCGGGCAACGCGGGACTTCCGGATGCCGAGCCTCCTTTCGGCTGCGGGGCAGGGAGACCCGGATCAGCAACGATCAGCAACGGACGATGGCGACCGAAGAGGGAAACCGAGCAGGCACCTAGCGCGGCGCAGCATCTTCGGAATGTTTTCACGAAGAAGATGGGCTGGAGGCTCAGCTGCCACAGCTTGGGAGGAAAAGCCGGCGTGAAAAAATGCGCGACCTTGAGAGATCCTCCCAGGCTTCACGGATCAGGACATCGTGGCGCTCTCCGGTGCCCACACCATCGGCCGCGCCTTCAAGGAGACGTTGTCGTCGCCTCGCCCACCTCGACGAGAGAAACTCTGCAGAGTGCAGCATGCGGCAGGAGCGCAGCGGGGCTTGCCCTTTCGGCTACGGTGAGCAGGTTGGGAGACTGCCAAAGTGGCATCCCTTCTGAAAGCATAGCAATTTGACGAGGCAGCTTCGAAGTACACCAAAGGCGACTGCATAGTGCGCAAGGACCTTCCGGGAAGCTGCACAGAGAAATAGCAAGTTTCAGGTCCACAGCACGCAAGGTGATTTTTCAGAGCACATACAACACAGTCTCAGCCTGAATGCGTAGTTCCATGCGCTTCAAGCTTGCCCGAAGAATCCCCAAACACAAGCCAGCTTCCCCCAAACAATGTCATTGTGTCACACAGGATGGCAGCAAAGGCGTCGGAACCGTGGCATCGTTTAAAGCAGACATGCGAGACAAGCCAGATTTGTTGGACGAGTTGAGGAGCGCTGGTCTTCTGGTTGCAAAGGCTTTTTCTGAACATCCGCGTTCATGCAAGGAATGGTCGGTGGTGCTTCTTGGACCAAGAACTGGCTGACCTTTGACAACAGACAGCCAGCCACGTTTGACCGGACAGCGAACTTCGCAGAAACTCACCATGTCACGGCCAGGTTACTTCAAGGACTACAAGCTGTCCTACGAGGACTTCAGCTTGAAACAGACATGAAGTTTCGGTTTCCATGTTGGTGAGCTGTACGAAGTCTGTGCCAGCTCTGGGTGTTGTCGAAAGGTGTTGCAGCGACATGACTGCTTTGGTAGGTCAGATGGCTCGATATTCCATTTTGCAAGCTGTGTGAGATGCCTGCGAAGCCTAGGCGAGATGTGGTACATTACAGGCAGGTTGTACAGGAAGTGCAAAAGGGAAAGGAACACGGCGCGAGAACAGAGACAGCTGTTCTGTCGTTCCTGTCTGTTTGTTCAGGGTTCGGTGCTGTTTCGTTTCCGCCTTTTGTTTTGCTATTGGTTCATGCAATTCAATCGCCGTTGAGGCATCATCTGCATGTCCCGAGCAGCATGGAGCACATAAAATGTCTGCACACCGCAAACATGTCGAACACAGTCTCGGATCAGCACAAGCAGCGCGTTGTGCGGGTAAGGGCAAGTCGTCCTGTGCCTGCCACTGTTGCTAGCGGGCTCAGGCATGCTTGTTTTCTGGTAGCTGCGTGTAAGTTCTCACGTCAGGAGTGACGGGATTTGGTTACTGGCCGTTCCTTTCACAGTCCCGCTCGCTGCTCGCTCCCCGGCCGGGGAGGCGGAAGGGGCAAAACTGTGACACTGTTGCAACTTGGCCATTGTGCGCCCACCACCACAGCGGGGTATGTATCGTACGCATCTTCATCTTGTGGAAAGCATGCTCCCACCACGGGCTCGTCGGACTGGTCTCCGACTCCCAGCGTGTTCTGTGGCAGTGGTGTGTGTTTTTTTGGACTCGTCGGGGTTTAAACGTTTTCAATGGTTCTTACATGTTTTGGGGTATGTACAGGGCTTGGACTGCCAGATGCTCTTTCATTGTTTGGGGTCTATGGCAGAATCTCCCCAAGTGCACGGAGGGACGCCTTGTCAAAGAGGGAGGAGAAGATCTCCTGTGGAACCGTCCGACCGCGACCTAAAAGTTTGGACGCGCGGTGGCCGGTGGGCGCGGAGAGATGCCAAGAGTGGCCGTAGCTCGAGTGGTGTGAGGATGACAGCCTGCTTTGGTTCAAAACCGACGAGGCTCACTGCTACAGTTGCCACAGGCAGAGACGTGTTCTTGATGGCAGAAAAGCCGTGGTGTAGGAAACGCTGTCGCGAATCTGATTGCGTCAAGTAAGAAGATCCTTCATAGCTTTGGCAAGGCTCTGCACACAGATCCTGAGTTCAAGAAATACTTCGATCTCTACGCGAAGGCCTTTCGCTTGATGTGCAAGCCGGAAGCAGGCGGCCGCAAAGGAAAGAGCAAACCACGGGTGATGCTACTGTGCAGGATCAAGATGCCTTCTTCAGGGACTACGCGCAGGCCACTGTGATGTCAGCAGTCTCCATGTCTTGGAATTCAGAAGCCACAGAGCAACAGGGTATTTACCACTTTGTGTTGTGGGCGTCAGAATCACCGTCGTTTGTGTGAAGTGTAAAGCGTTCAGCAATCTCCGTCGCCAAGACATGTCCAGCATGTTCTTTGATCGTCAGACTGGCAACCTGTCTAGAGGCGGCTGTCCGTGCAAATGCCCTGTCAGGCCCACAAGAAGTTGAGCGAATTGGGTTCCAAGTTCGAGCCGGAGGGAGGCATTAAGATTTGAGAAGCAGGGTTTCCTTTCAGAAGGAAGCAGACGGCGGGTGAGGGAGCGGGACCCCGCAGACCTTCCCCACCATTTGCAGTCAACCTGTTCTTTTGCATTACAAGCCGGCCACTTCTTCAAAGCTAATCTGCACTCATCAGAAAATTGTTGGACCAGACTTGATTTTCTGAGACTTGGCATCTATGCTGTCTGAGATGCTTGCGCTTTGGAGAAGACTGGCAGGCTGCTAATTTTCACCATCTGCCTCGCCGGACCCAACAGACTTAAGACCATGCGCTACGCCAGCTTGGCATGGACGTGCGGCAGACACAGGAGGGGACCAGCCCGTGAATACCTCTGCTGAAGACCTGTGCTGTTAGTTTCAGCCACTTCCGCCATGCCTGGAATGGACGGAACCTGCACTCTTCATCCGGATCCTGGCTCAAAGCTGTGGTTGAACCATGACCCAGATACTCGAGATCGAACTTCCGTGAACCCTCTGGAGCAGTTCAGGCGTCTCCCGCATGCTTCGGGATCGAGAGCCACCGTGATCTGAATCTATGGCCGAAGCTAGCTCAGCTACAGTAATCCTCTGCACTTGCCAGGTGGACAGCAAACGATGAAAAGATGGCAATGGCAATGCTCGGCATGTTTGAAGCTTGCAGCTTGTATTTCGGGTTGATATGATGGGAGTCAGTCAGACAGGGTCGCCTGTTCTCACACGAGCGTAGTTTTTCTTTTAAATTACAATCTGCGGGGCTGTGACGTCGCAACGCTGCACTGGGAGTTGCGGACCTGAAGCTCTGGATGACCTCGGAAGCACGAGCAGCAAAAGTCGTCTACTGCCAGGTGCCTCGTGCTGCCGCTGTTTCTTTTGAATCTTGGCAGAACCTTTCAACTGTATGTGCTACCGCAGAAAACAGCTGTGTATTGCACATTGGTGTAGCAGTTGCAGCGAATTCCTTCAGCTGGACTGCTGATATTCCGCCCCACACTGGCCAAGACGAGAAGAGCAGCAGAGCAGCAGAGCAGGAGAGCAGCAGAGCAGCAGAGCGAGAATTGGTTCCATCGCCTCAGCTCAGGCCATGCTCGAGAGCCCTCATCACCAGCTCGGCCATCAATTCTGGCTCAGGGAAGCGAAGCGAGGCGGAGTTGCACAGAGTTTCAGGGAAGCTTGTTCTTTGAACAGACAGCCTGGTGGCGGCTTAGGGGCCGGGTTGTACATTCCTGCCTAGTTTGCGTCTAAATGGCCGTCCGGCCTGCTTTTGTGCTGGCTTTTCTGCTTTGCTCCTGGCAATGGTGGTTTGGCAATACTCAGGAGGGCGCAGGCCCAGAGCATTCAACTCTCAAATTAGTGTCTGTGAGAGACGTCTCTTTCTGTAGGGTAGATACGTCGTACTTGGACCTGAGGGCCAATCTGCGTGAAGAGTCTTCTCCCAACAAGCTTCTAAATTGGGCGCCAGGCGCTGAGCGGCGTGGTCTCTAGCCTGTGGCCCGGCTGCACCCGCGGTCAGGCTGAAACCAATGATGTTTTCGTGGTCTGGGCAGAATCTGAGACTAAGTTTGTGGACCTAAGGATGGAGAGAGTGCGGGGTCGCAAGCCCCGGATCAATCGCAGACCAAGAGTGCATGATCTCGTCTCCGTGCTGCATGAAAGTAAGGGGTTGACAGACAAGGTTATGCATGTCTGTTGTAGTTGGACTCGGGACTCAAGCTCGTTGTGTGCAGAAATGTGTTGTGTAAGTAAGCTTCGCATATTGAGCACTCTAGATCGTTTTTATTTACAATGAGTCACGCCTCCATCAGGCAGAATCTTCTGTGTGACATGTCATCAGCTCGAGTATGCACCACACCACAGACGGAGACGCGCGCAGCGAGCATTCTGTGCAAATGGTAGGATGCAGGGAACGGTTTCGCACTTTGTGCTGTGCATGATAGGATGCGGGTAGTTGGCAAAAGCATGAGGATAAGAAGAACTAGCCGAAAATCAGAAAAAGGACAACAACAAAGAACTGAAAGACAACTTCGCCCGTAGAGCAGGGCACTCGTTCCAGATCTAAAGGAGAAAGATCCGGACAGGGAGACTGTATGAAACAAGTCTCCGGATTGAGCCTTGCACCGGTGCAGTAGCAGAGGGCGCTCACTGCACTGGCTTCCCAGGCTGAAGAGTCCCTGAATCAGCAACGCTCAAACTTGTGATTGGGCTCTCAAAACACACCTCGCCATCGGAGAAGCCCAGTGGAGCTCAAGTAACCAAAGGAAGAGTCAACATCACAAGCATCCGAAGGATATCCTAAGGAATGAGCAGGTTTGTGGCAAAGTCTTACCCCGAAAGCGACTGCACACCAAAAAGGGGAAAACGAACCCCTGAGTGTTTGCACAGCAAAACGGAACACGCAGCAACAAAACGCAGCTTGGCCCTTTAGCTTTAAGGGTTGCTGAGGAAGACGGCTTGACACCAACACCTCCGAAGGGAGACATGGGTGCCCTGGCCAAGACTGGGAATTGAGGGATGTTTGAGATTTGTACAGAACTTTTGTATTCTACAGCGAGCCTTTGAAATTTCCGACTTCAATGAACCTCAGTCCTTGAAAGAGAATTGCTGCAGGAATAGTTGGCAGACAGGCTGCCAGCAGCTGATGCCTGTTGTGCCTGATTTTCCGCTGCGGTCCAGGCATCAGACGACGGGATTGGACGGTTCTGGTATTTTTCCCGGATGAGAGCAGGTATATAAGATGCCGGGTGAGACTGCCTAACATCTTGCTGATGTGGCAAGTTGATGGAGTCTTTTCGCGATCTCGATGATTGGGTGGTTTGTCCAGAACGGTCATTTTCCCAGGAGTCCGATGTGATGAAACCACAGCGCCTGACCCTTGCCAAGCACTTTTGCTGAGGCCACCATATTCGCGAGTTCTTCCGATCAGCGAGATGCTTGGCTGCAGATTACCGGGAAGCACTCCTGTAGATCTGGATCCTGAGATGGTTGTCGTCGCCCCGAATGTGGTACTGTGAGATCATTGAGAGAGTTTATGCAGCGCAAGGATCGGCATCGTGGGCCACGTTTTCGACCTTCTGGGTCTTTCTCACCGTCGCTAGCCTCTTGCCGGCATGCGATGCAAGCTTCTGCCTATGGCCTATGGCTTTATTGAACGCACCTCCAAGACCAAAGCTCGTTGTCTCGAGTGCATGTCGGAGAGCCAATGCAATCTGAGGCTACTTGCTGTACTCCCGGCAAGATCTGAAATACTGGTGCAGCCCTAAGCTACGCAGTGAGGGAGCGTGGAAAGCTGTGCTCGTCCGGGGCTGCAAGACGCTGCGGAGTTCGGGGTACAGAGAAGAGCTCCACAGCTCACGTAACGGTGTTTTGGGAGGCTTCTCTGTCGTTCCTTGGAAGGGGAGAGCTTTGTGAAAGGCAGAAGTTGCCGGGCTAGACTCTTTGAATCAGCAATCTTTTCTATCTTCATTCACAGCACCATGGACTTGAGCGACTGACATGACATGTTGCAAATGAACGCAGCAATGCCGGAAGAGGGAAGTGCAACGGAAGCTCGTGGACAAACCAGTGGGGCAACGTGGAGCATGGATTGCTGCAGGTTCTCAACATAATCAGGTCAAGCATTACCAAGGGATGCATATGTGTATGTGGGTTTGTGGGTATGTACAGATATGCACATAAAGATACACAGTGTATATTTGGGAATCTGCCAGATACACGCGATGCACGTCCAACACTGACAGTTCGGGCAAGCACAACTTTGGGGTCTTGGATGATCAGCTCTTGTCGAGGTGGCAGCACATATTTTCAATGTGCTTCTGGATCTTCATGGCAGTGGTGCGGCTCGGTCAGCAGATCTGTTTGTGCCTGCTATTGGCGCAGCTTGCTTGAGTGAACGTGCACGAGACCAGCTTTGTCATAGTCGATTTTGCGCATAGCTGAAATTGGAAAGTTGTGAATTCGAAGGACGTCGCCTGTATGCTTGGCTGAGAGGACGCACACAATTCACACATGTACCATCGTGAAGCTTGAATCACCGACAAAACCAAAGTCTGAGTACGGGGCACAGAACAGAAGCAACTCCCGACTTCGGAGGTATCTCGGCATTGTCGACGCGCAGGCGCCAGCAGATCCAGATGCGGTAGATGACTGGCTGGATGGCTACATCGTCGAGCTCATCCTGTCCATGGAGACCTGGCGCTTGCATGTATGCAGCGGAGTCCTCTGTTATGCATGTTCAGGAACTCTGAGATGTTTTGGCATGGTTCACGAGCACATTTTGGGAGAAGCTCTTCGAAGATGTCTGTCTCAGGAAAATATTTTCCTCTATGCTCCCAAGCTGCAGTCTGCGAAGCTGCTGTTGCTTGAATCACAGTCTTCACGGCTTTAGTTGACTGAGGAGATTATTCTGGTCTCATTTCGTGTGCCCCCTAAGCTGTCGAGGAAGATTCTGTTTGCACCTAGGCAGCATGTGCGGGGGAGGTTTCGTTCGCAATGGTTTGTTTTTGACTTGTAGCTTCAGCTGAGGTTACCTCCTTCTGTCAGATGTTCTGGCAGATGCCTGCTTGCAAGAAGATCTCAAAGGAAGCCACAGGTCTCGAACTGTCGGCTTCGGGTCGCTGTCCATAGTCACCAACACTTTGATGGCTGGAATCCAACGCGCACCACGATTCGCATGATCTGGTTTTCCTATCTGTTCACGGTAGTGACTGACTGGGGCATCTCAAGAGCAGCCTGACAATGCCGAGTGCCACCAGGATGTGGCTCTTCATGTTCGTGGCAACCTATTTGCAGGACATCAAGAGCCTTCCATATCTTTTAGGTGCCTGGCTGATCTATGTGCCCCGGCAACAACCTTCTGGAGTTGAGCTGAACAAAAATCCTGAAACTCTGGCCGGACACACAGAACCTCGGAAAACAACTGCACGGAAACGTGATGGACTCTGCACCCTGCTCCTTCTGTATCACCTGCTACTTTGCAGATCGGTGTCGCAAGCCTTCGGGAGGATGATCACGGCAGCAGCTCGGTCTCTAATTTAGCTTTCCCTGCTCTTTCGTTTGCAAAGTTGAGCATCTATTTAGCTGGAGTTGCTTCGGGCCTGTACTGATCACATCCATGGACAGACCAGGGTTGGGATACGAATCCATAAGTCTGAAAGAGCTCGTGAATGTTGAACCCAAGTTTGGAGTCTCGAGTGTCGAGGCTTCGATCCGGAGCACTCCGATCTGTTCAGAATGCTCCGTACCGGCTTGGGTGCCTTATCTGAGAGCTTCGGTACGATGAAAATTTGCCTCATGTATGTGGATCCGTGCGGCTTCTACCAGAGAGTTGCGCATCGCATGCTTCCAAGGCAGCAGGCTTCTGCCGCATTATCCTCATGACGGCAGCGCCACGGATGCAAAGGGCATGCACGAAGGATGTCCCCTGAAGTCTCACTTGCACGGAACTTGCAAGATGTGTTCATTTCTTCAGACTAAAGCTTGCGCAGAGCGAGAGAGATAGAGAGAGAGAGAGAGAGAGAGAGAGACCAAGCGCTGGCTGAGTGGAAGAGGTAGCATTGGGAGCCAGGTTTTGGCAAAGCATAGCACTCGCTACTTCCAGTCCACCCGAGCCTTCAGACTTGAACAGAGCGTGTGCTCCCAGACAGAGTGAGAAGGGGACAAGGGGCGAAATGATGGTGCGGCAGTTGGCTGTTGCAGGCATGTTGCAGCGCGACGAGAGTGGCAAGCTGTGTGTGACCATGCTCCTGCCGGTCACTGCCTGCATCGTCATCATCATGTTGGTCATGGAGGTAGACGTCACGCTTGCTAAGATTGAACCCTGGCTTTCTTAGAGTCTTAGAGTCGTTGTTGTGCCAGACCTCGTTGAAGGGCATCACCTGCCACTTTCCGCAAGCAGCTCGAACATTCACGTTGACACTGCTTCCTGTTCTGCTCTGCCAAGCATGTGGAGCCGTGCGGCATTCATGGTACTCTGCCAACACGACGGACTGCATATCAAAACGTGGCTTTCGCCAGCCTGTCCCCATGAATTCCACCTCGTTACACTTCCTGTAATCTGTTCCTCGACTGGGCTGTGCAAGTCATTGCGCAGCATCTGCCAAGTTCGAGTAGTTTGCCTCGAGTGGTTTGTTTGCCTGTGTGTGTGCGTGCGTGCGTGTGTGTGTGTGTGTGTGTGTGTGTGTGTGTGTGTGTGTGTGTGCGTGTGTGTGTTCTGGCACTGACCCGACTGACCTAGCTGTGACATGCGATAAGTTTGTCTTGCCCCCTGCTGCTTTGGTCGTGTGCCTCGTTCGTGGCTTTGTTCCAAAGCTGTGAAGCACCGTGCTTGCAGAAGTGGTTGGCACCAGTGCAGCTGATCACAAACGGCAATCTGAAGCGGAAAAACGATTCATTTGCTGATGCGTTCGAGGGTATGTCTGAAGTTTATCGAAACAAATTGCAGGACTCTGCTTCACATTCGCCAGCAGTCGACGCACGACTGCTGCCCTATTACTAGCAGTTCTAGTTGATGTCGGACTTTGACACAGAAGTGCAAACACGGTTCAAGTGCACGATCGGCCTGTCTGAGGGATCGCGTCCCAAGTAAGTGCTCACACCTGCTGGACCAAGCTACCGATATACAACCCCTGGAAGCATCTGCCACAGTAAGTTTGTCTATCTGGCTGGCGAAAGCTGCATGTTGGGAAAGGGTGCAGCGGTGGTTGTGGTGGTGGTCGCGGGTGGGTGGGTGCGTGTTTGCATGTGTGTATGTGCGTGTGTGTGTGTGTGTGTGTGTGTGTGTGTGTGTGTGCGTGTGTGTGTGTTCGTGTCGGGTGCTTGTGCATCCCATCCCTGTTAACTTCTCTTCTTCCACAGACTGCATACGGCCCATCGCACGTCCTGCCCAACTGCGCTACAGACCATCTAATTGGCCTGTTGGTTTGTGCATGCAGCTTCTAACTATCGTCTCAGCGTTCAGTTTCAGGATAGTGTCCAAGCATGAGATCGTGACAGAAATGGGGAGAAGCTAGTGTCATAGTCCGATGCCGCGGTTGAAAGTGCCACAGACGTTGCAGACAACTTCGGATGGACCAGAAAATTTCACCAGAGCAATTGTGTGCACAGGCAGGTACCTTTCAGACAAATCCAATCACATTAATGTCACAGTTGGGGTGAATGACTGAAACGCAAGCAAAAGCATTCCATTCTTGAAGCAGTTGTCTTCGAGTTGGTTTGAGCGGTCTTTGCGAATGGTGCATTGCAGCTGTCTTCTGTGCTTGGTCGCACGTCATTCGATGCACGGTGCCAAGTTCAAAGCAACGCATGAGCATTCCTTTGTTGCGCAGGGTTTTCACATTAATTCGTGACCATCGAGCACTTGTAAAGGAGTGTACAAAACGTTCCGGAGCCAACTGTCGCTTCAAGAAGTGTTTCGAGACCAAGGAAACAATAGACTCGCATTTCATTGCTTGGACATCTTCCGTCCTTGTGGCATTTGAAGCTCGGTCGGCAAGAGTGCCATATCCTGGGACAGCTGCAGCGACATTGACGCTCAAGCTGACTGTCCCTCAGGCATTGCCGGACCTGTATGTTATCGTTAGTGAGCTCTTCAGGCAGTTCTACCTGATGCGAACAGGTCGGGCATGTGTGAAGGGCACTAGCAAAGCAGATGTGTAAGCTGCATGTCCTCGATTTCATGGGTTGCCTGTTTCTCAACTTTGATTTCTCCGCAGCGTTGGAGCCTGCTTGGTTGTGTCCAAGTGCCAGGCATTAGCGTCTTGCTCCTCTTCTTTGGGGGCTTGCTTCTGGTGCGGGAGGAGTCTGACAAGCAAGGGATGGACAGAGGGAAGGAAGGAAGAGAGAGAGAGAGAGAGAGGGTAGGGGAAAACATCCTCTGCCCCACAACCCTGGCGAAAGAAAGAGAGAGAGCGAGAGAGCGAGGGGGGCGCGGACGCGCCGGAGAAAGGGTGCTGCCCTTGCTTCTACCTTCCCGAAAGAAAGAGAGATACAGAAAACAGCGTGTTCATGGTGTCCCCCACACAACTTTTGCTGATCCTTGCTGTTGTCCAGGCCTTGACAGGAACTTACTTTGAAGTAGCCACAGGGGGATCCCAGCAGGCCGAACAAGTTCGAAGCAAGACGGTTCCCATGACAGTTGTTGTACGCTGCTACGTCTTCCTGTCGATCAGTGCGTTGTTGCCATGCCAGCGGAACTGGGAAATGAACTTAATTCAAAAGTACTGATCAAGATGGAACAAGACTGAAATCATCATAGGTCATCAATTATGTCAAGGCAGCATCAGTCGTAAACCCATCCTACTTTCACACGCCTCTAACAGCCCGTCAACGGCGGGCGGGTCTAAGTGCCCCTTAAGTCTGGGAGAAGAAGAACACATTGTATGTGTTGGGTCGCGAGCTCCGTGATGATTTGAGTGGTTGCGCAACCTCCAAGATGACATAGGTCCTCACGATCCGAAGGCAGAGGGACTGGCATTCACAATACACTTCTGCGGAGCAAGGTGCAAGAAACTAGTCTTTGCTCTGGCCATTGCAGCTTGAGAGGGCTCAACTGTGTCGAGAGAGGGAGACTCTCTTGTCATTGTTCTCGCCTATGCAGGGAGGGCCGACCCGTGGAGCCCGGAACAAGAAGAAGAAAAGCAGCAAGAGCGAGAGAGAGAGAGAGACTTCTCGTGCGCGGGAGGGGTTTGCGCCCTTCCTTCGCTGCGTGCAAAGAGACTCCTCGATGCGAAAGCAAAGACTCCTGGATGAACCAGGACATGGACATGAGCGGGAGTGGGGGAGTTTCCCGATTCTCTTGTGGCGATGGAGAAGAAGAGAGGGAGGCAGAGATAGGGAGACAGAACTGGGAGACAGAGAGAGAGAGAGAGAGACAGAGAGAGAGGGAAAGAGAGAGCGAGCGACAGAGGGAACTACAGATTCGTGTGCAAAGTGGCAAGTCTCTAGTGCCCTAACGAACAAAGGGGCATGTCTCTGCATAGGAAGGCTTGTCCCCGTTGACCGCATGAAAGGGAAAAAGAGGAGGGCAAGGAAGTCCTTGCGATGCCCTGAAAGCTTGTGGGGACAGCCGGCAACGGCCTGATGTGCTCAAGATGGTTGTTCTCCTTCTGCTTTCTGGTGACGCAAGTTGTGTGAGTCCTAAGTTTTAGCGTTTGCAAGTTCACGCAGATCTGCATCCTTGAGGGAGCGTGTATACAAATTTATGTTGCTGCTGATGGGGTTCAACTCGATGTGCACTCTCCCATCCCAGCGAGATCGGGGGAAAAGCCTGAGAGCCACTCTTTTTCTCACATCCCCTCTGTTTCGATGCTGTTCTCAGGAAAAGCAGCTATAGCGCCGAACACTTTTCATCTGATTCAAGAGGGCTTCGGCAAAAAAGCTCTACAGTATGGTGACAACCTCCGAGCTTTCTTGTTCTTCTTGTTCTCTCACTCTAACAAAACCTGGAACTACAGGCACATGGTTCGGTACTTGCATAGAAAGAAGAGCAAAGAGAAAGCCAAATTGTGTAACCGCCCACATGACTTTCGATGCCTCTTTCAATCCACCGCGAGGAGGTACAGGTTTCGGACACCGCTGAAGTAGCGGTGATGCTGACGATAGTCTTTGGCTCCATCATTCTGTCCACCATGATGCACATGGGTGCTTTGGCACAAGGGTGAGCTGGCAAGCTGAATCCCAGCAGCAGCAACGTAAGCAGAGCTTCCTCGGTGTGCTTTCCGAGGCCCCAAACACGGTGCCGCATACGACGAGTCCGAGGAGGAGGACTCGGAGCCGACACTTGGTGGCATCTGACAAGTTCGGTGCAGAGCTTTCGAGATTGTGATTCTGAAGGCATGGGCACGGCATGCCCAGGTCTTCCAAAGTCGAGAGAGAAGTCCACACCAACGCGGAAGCTACGCTTTACTCGCAGCTTGATGGAAGGCAAGTTGTGAAGAGCACACAACAGCGGGACTACGCGCAGCGTATGTCTTCATCTGCGTCTTGGACTCTCTGTCTGTCTCTCTGTTGGTCTCCATCTTTGCATGTCTGCCTGTCCGTCCGTCTCTCGGCTTGTCTGCCTGTCTGGCTGTTTGTTCTCCGATAATCGGTTTTGCGGTCTGAAAAAGAAAAGGCCATGCACACCCGGATGTGATCAGAGGGCAGGCCTGACTCAGACCTGTTCAACTTGGTCGGGCGGTTGCATGTCGGTAAGACGAAGGCTTTCGGCTTTGCCGCTCGTGGCACTTTGGGCTGGGACCCATTTGTCCGGTCCCAGAAAGCTTGTGGAGTTGGCACTCAACCCTCTGCCAACTTGGTCTACGGCGTCAACTGTTCTATGGACTTTGAGCGATAAAGCTTTGCGAACGTTGTGCGAGGGGTGTGGTATTTGCGGTCAGTCTGCTAGTCTGTCATGAAAGTTCGTTGCAAGGCTTGCAAATCAAAGGCTAAGCTTTGGGCACGCTCCATGACAATTGCATATCTCGGGAGGAACTAGGCTTGAACACGAAACACAGCCAGTGTCGAAGTGGCATACAGCTGGGGGATCAACAAAGGCAGCTTTTGCAGCTGTAACACAGCGAGGTTCGGGGTTACTCCGACAGCCACAGTGTACAATGTCGACACTTGACAGTACGCGAACCATTTGTTAGTTGTACCTGCACATCTTTGTTCCCACTGAGGCTATACTGAGTTGCTCCAGAGGCTGACAACGAAAAGGAGCTGCCAAGATATGCGGTGAGCAAGGGCATGCTGCCATTGTATGGCATGTCACGTGCAGATAATGCCGCAGAATTGTCGACCTTGCTTGGCTCATATCACAAAGCTTCATGGACAGCACATTGACAGTTCTTGAGCATCGCTCCTAGTCTAAGGGCGCATAGTGCTGCGACCCATGGTGCCATGATATGGTCCCGGCGATGGGGAGATATGATTTCGACCATGGTCTGCAGGGTCAGGTGCTTCAGGGCAAGATTCGGCTGGGTATTGTGGTGTGAGTCTTGACCGGGCACAGTGCCCCCGCTCGTCCGCTGGCGTGCTTGCTTCAAGGTGCAAATGGGAGCTTGGCCAGCATGCTTTGGCTTTGGACTGAACCCCCAGGCACGAGCTGATGGGTAGCCTTGTCGAACTTGTCTGAGTCTTCGTCGTGGCTCACTGCCAGTGCCAGGCCTCCCCATTCCTGCCGCAAGAGAAGGCGGCGCAGGAGTGCCCCTGCTGCAATGCAGCGCTCCCGCGAGCCTCTGTGCCAAGTGTTTCTTCAAGATGTGGGATGTTTTTGGGCTGTCAATTTCAGGTGTTCCAGAAACTATGGAATTACATTCCAGGAGGATTGCGCTGCAACTGCATATTCATGTTTGGTTCGTTGTCCGTGAGTTCAAGTTAGCCTTCCCAAAAGGTCACCAATGCATCTTGAAGCTACAACCCATGGCTGTCGCTGAAAATCATGCTCAGGCAAGATGCAGAACCGTAAGATTAGAGGCAGCAGGTAGTTGAAAACATTGTGTGCCAGTTCCTATCAGTCCGAGCCTGGAAGGTTGGGACTGTTGTTGGGGCCCGGAGCAATCTTCACAAGCCCAGGTGGCGGGCATTGCTTCGGCGCCTCGCCGCAACACCGCTGCCGCTGGGCCGAGAGGCGCTGCTCTGGGCAAGAAGGCGGCCGAGCGAACTAACTCAAAACGGGCCTTGTCAGCCAAAGCTTGCAAGCTGCAACTTTCGCTGCAAAGGTTAGAAGATGCGGCAGCAGCAGCCATCCAGCTGCACTGGCGCTGCTTGGAGGAATTTGGCAGGTGCAAGTACCTGCGACTCCCGAGTCTGCACAAGTCCAGCTCTTCGCTGGACCCGGGAATCCCAAGGAAAAATCAGATTCAGTGGAAGCTGCAAAACACAGCAAACATCGTGTCATTCTGCTACATGACTCATTACGTGACGAGCAAAGCGTCTTCAAGATCGACGGCAGCGACAGTCTTCAATGCCACTCACATCTAGCTCCACTGATAAGCCCAACCAAAGATTGACATGTCCCACGGCCGAGGCTGCCATTGCTGGACAAAGCTCCAGAATCGATTGGCAGCTTCGCCGGAAATCTACGGCTCGACAGGCCCAAAAAGTATTGTGTGCGTTGGCAAGGCACGCAGAGGCCGATACCTGATTGCAGCGCCCGGGTGTGCTCGCCAGGCGCGAGCCCCTACACCGATGGGTGGCAACACAGGTGGAACCCACGCGTGCGAGGCACATCTGCTGCGATGATGTGGGGCTTCCGAAAATAGGGGTCCCTACATAGTAGCCTAAGCAGTAGGGTCTTCATTATATAAGGACCCCAACATAAGGTACCCATTTTCGGAAACTCCAATGTAGCTTCTGAAGCTCAGCTACTCGTCGATCCACTTCTTGCAGCAGCAGATGCAGCCATTTGAGCTGTTGCTCTGGGTAATCCCTTCCCCCTAATATAGGATTTAGGGTTTAAGGTTTAGGTCCCCTCCCCGCTCTCCCTAATAGTGAAACCTGAACTCCGGGTCGGGTTTTGCTATTAGGGGGGTTTCGGACATCCGGGTATGGGTTAGATAGGAGGTAGGTAATACAACGGCCGACTTTCACGCAGCCGTTAAATTCTAAAATGCTAAAACCCTGCAGCCCTAAGCCTAAACCTGTAGCCAAGAGCCCTAAATCCCGAAACCCTCGGTTTGGTATTACCTAAAACCCTAATGGCCCTAATCCCTAAATCCTGAAGCCCAAAGCCTCAACCGCAAGCTCTGAGGCGTAAACCCTTAAACAATTTTGTCCTGGTACTTTCGGTTTTGTTCTGCCGTGGTCTTCGCCTTATTCAGACTCATACAATCCTAGCTCCCCCTAATGCTTTCAAATCAACTTTCAATTGGGCGCGAGCCTGCAAAACTCCGGGGGCGAGAGGTGTTAATATTGGGGGAGTTTTAAGTACGCGGGGAAGCGATGAAGCCACTACGCATCCTTGGACTGTGCTGTCTTCAGGCAAGCGTCGGGCTCGCAGCTTTGGGCCACATAGGCAGCGAGCACAAAGGCTGCGGGATTACGGCAAGTGTTGTTGCTATTCTCCTGGCAGGCGGTGGCACGTGCCAGGATGCTTGGAAGCGCCGCCGCAGAGCCAAAGCTCGAGGTGGACGATGTGTCATGACTCTGTAGGAGTCCGTTCCACCTGCCAGGATTCGCCAGGTCAGCACTGCAGGCTCTAGACCTTGTGTCAAAGCGTGGTTTGCGAGGCGCATGATTGATAATAAGCTCAACCCGAATGTCGAAATAAAGGGTTACAACATTGGTGTACGGCCGCGCGACGAAAGTGGCTTCATGGTTTAAGATGGGATGGTTCATGTCATTCCTTTACAACTTTTCCTTCGGGAGATCTTTATTCTTCAGGAGCGTATGTTTGACATTCGAGCGATTGAGCCACTTTTGCCAGGCAGCTTCAAGATGCAGCGTCCGAAGAGGCCTTGCCCTTCTCACAAGCGGATGTTTCCTCCCCCACGAAGTGTACCTGTATTGCCTGCTTCATGCAGATTCTGCCTATCAGGCCACGCAAGCACCTGCACAGAGGCGAGCCGTTCCACACTTCCTGCACGGTTGTTCCTTCCTGTTTTTGGTGGGAGTCGCGCGCTTTTTGCGGGGCACAAGTCTGCCGTCGAGGCCGAGACCCCGGAGCCAGCCAGCTCGGCCAGCTCGGCCGGCTCGGCTTAGGTGGGTCCCTGTCCGGAAGGGGAGCGAGGAAGAACAAAAGCGCGTGTCCCCCCGAGCCCTCGTTCGGGGTCAAGGCCCGCCGGTATCGAAAGCTTTTTGTATCTTTTTTGGTGCGGGTGCCAGGATTCCTGTCTCAAGCGAGCCTCTTGCAATTTGAGTGTCCTGTCATGCAAGCTCCAGCAGTGACGGTGGCTTCTCTGCAGAATGCAAAAACTTCAACAGAGTCTGCAAACCGTGGAATTTCTGCCGGTGGCACTCTGGGCTCAGCCATCCCAATGTGCACCAATCCCGATGTGCACCAAAGCGTTTGAAGGCGGCTGACGGAAGTGTTCGGGAGGATTTTCGTGTTTGGGAATTGGAGTGGCTTTGAGGGAGTGGGGTCGAGCTGCCAGCCGGGAGCTTTACGTGGAAACTTCAGCTGGCATGGCTTTACGGCAGAGCTTTGACTCGCCCGATCTTGCACGTATGTGTGCTTCGTCTGCGATAAGCATCGTGTGGTCCATCGCAGTCATAGGCCTCAGAATGTGGCATGCCGCAACATACGTAGGAACGCCAAGGGCTTTCCATGATCTTCAAAGCATATCATTCAACTGAAGTTGCCAGCCTAAGTCGGCCCTCTGCCATCGAGCGTTGTTCATGCGAGGCCCTCCCAAGCCCTACCCTGCGGGTATGTCGTAGCATGCACGTCGCGTTATGCTTCTGTTGGTGGTCTCGATTTACTGCTGAGTTTCAAGAGTCCGCATGTGGATGCTGCAGCCGGCATCATTTCACTTCGCAGCAGTGCGGGATGTTTCTCTGCCCGTTGGGCCTGGTACCGAGAGGCTGCACTGGCGATGCCAGAGGCGCTGCCCGATGGGCACTTCCTCTTCTCATCCGAGGCAACCACAGAAGGCTGGCGCATGCTGGCGCCCAACTCTGATAAGTCCGCTCTGGCGTCGGGTAAAGCCTGGATCCAGGACATTTCGACAAGCTCTGCGATCGAGTGGCCGATGCAGTATTGGACACATGTCTTTCACAGGCCAGGAGTTTTATGAAAAGACTATGCGCGAACGTGACATTGCCACTGCTGCAGGATGCTGAAAGCCGGGTGCTGTGTGAAGCATGCGCCAAGTCTGGTGACCTGCCTGGCGGTTTCGACATGCACCGTGCTTTTCCATGGCTCATGGTTGTTGCCACGTCCAACTTCGATTTTCTAAGGAATGGTGATGATCCTTGGAGAGGTGGTCAGCAAAGCCAGTATACAATACGAGCAGGTCATTCGAGAAGCTGTCAAAGCGGTTGGCTATGACAGCGATGACAAGGGCCTAGATTGGAGGACGGGGCTCTCTGCTGCCAACACCTTCAGCCGAACATGTTTTTTACACACATTCACGGGTTAGTGAGTGCTTTTTGCAGATGCCCACGCCCACGAGGAAGCTCATGTGCCCAAGCAGAGGTGCCTAAGGGTACAAACTCGTGCAGGACGATGAACGTCATTGTGGCGGTCGAAGATCAGGGCCCGGACATCGCAGTGTTTGCCTCTGCTCGCTCCGTTCGACTTGACTCGGTGGCTTTTTGCTGGTTCCTCGTCGCCCAGGCCTCCTTGGGGAGCCAGCGGCCAAAGCTTACGGATGACCAGGTTCGAAGCTCGCCACCGTCCTGCTGCCTAGCTGGTGTTTCATGGACTGTGTCAGCATGTGGATCTGCAGGCCGTGGTTGTTGGGTACGCCACAGATGAGACGGAGGAAGAGCCGAAGAGCTGTGATTGAGTTGACGCTGCTGCCAACGAAAGAGTCGTGTCGTCACGTGGCTGATCGCAGGATGCTATGCCGCTGTCTCATGCCCTGGCATCGCAGATCTGCGCCCAGATGGATCGGCTGAGGAGGGTCTCAGCGTCTCCGGGTGTTTGCAGGTTGCTGTTGGGGGTGGCCGGCTTGTGCCTTGGGTCCAGGTTCGTGTACGTTGAAGTCCAGTTTTAGGCCTGGTTCAAGCCCGTATGATTCAAGCACGGCCGTGTGTATCCAGCACATTCCAGCACAACGCGACTTCAAGCACAGCAAGCAATTCATGCACTCAACATGTGAGCATGCGCGATTCCAGCATGTGCTCAAGGTGTTTTACCGTTTAAGGTTTAGCGTTCTGTCGATCGCAAAGGTACATTCCGAGAAGCTTCCGAATCCCATGTGCGCACGTGTGAATCGCGAGTGCGCATTGCTTGAAATTCCCGATGCACAAAGCAGCTCACGCACAGTGTCCGCACACGTGCGAGAAGCAGCTGCTCGATGCGCAAATCGGCTCGCTGAGTGTGTGTGAGTCGGTTTCTTGCGGTGAGTTCGCTGCGTGTACGCAGAGGTCGCGAGCATCGCTATTTTTGCCTCATGCACAGAAGGGCTCGCAAGATCTCTGCAGTTTAGGACCGGCGTGGATCGTTTCTGCTCCACAGAGATGCTGAGACTGCACCGCAGGCGAGATGGCGTGTTGACGTGGCTGCGTCCGGATGCTCGCGCCCAGGCCGGGGTAGACCGTCAGGCTGAGAAAGCATCAGACGCCTTTGTCGAAGCATGGTTTAAGGTTACTGTGGAGTACAAGGCAGACTCCGATGGCACCTTAGCTGCCTTAGCTCAGACTTCATCGGGTGGGCCGTCAGAAGGCTCGGAACGATCTGCTTGAGCAGGCGCGCTGCTTCCACAGCGGGTCCACAGCATCTCCGTCATCTACAGCCATTTACCAGAGGTAAAGCCTGCAGCTGCAGAGAAGGACCTCATGGACCAGGAGTGGCAGTGGAGTTCCTTGAAGTCCAGCATTCTCATCGTGTCAGCATTACTCCACATTACTCTGCTTACCCTGTCTGCATCTGAGTGCAGGTCGTGAAGCCCGTTGTTCCCGATCGCTTTCTTGATAGCCGGGGTGGCCCAGACGTCCAGCACAGATGCTTGCCACTGAAGTGGACTGAAGTGCCCTGCCAACACATTCAATCGGGCTTGCCAGCACCGGACCATGTTTAGACAGCAACCACGGCCATTCATCGCCATCAGACCGCGGATACTGCCGACAGATATCGTCAGATGACAGCTGAATCAATTGAACCGGTATCTAAGACGTTTGCGTAGACATACAGCAACGTAACTGTAAAGCCACCGCGATTTCGGAAGCAGTATCGCGGCCAAAACGAGACCGACCCTTCGTTTTCCTCTCAGGCTCGGTGCGCTGCGTCTTCGCACCTCGAGCGCGCCGCGGTGCCTCGGAGGCCCCGCCAAAACAATAATATTTCCCTCGCGCTCGAAGCACCAGTGAGGAAGACTCAGAAACTTTTGCGAGGCGGGTTTCTCCGGCCGCCGGTGCGATGCCGACGGCTACGGTGGATGGGTGCCGGGAGGCGCTTGCGTGCAAGAGCCGAAGTTGAGACGACGCCTGTGTTCGAAGTCTTGTGCTCCATCACTATAACGCGCTACTCCAGCAATAGTAGGTGACGCTCATGTGAATGTCACTGACTCTGCATCCTTCTCAGGCTCCCTCCATCATGCGAGGTTTTATTGGTTCATCGAATTGTTGAACCTGAGTCCCAGCAAGGCGTACTCTCCGGCCGCGATGGGTGGGCTTTGGGCCGCGCGGCCTACGGAGCCCGCTGGGCCGCAAGGCTCCGTGAGTTGCGCTCGAGCTTGCACGTCCATCACCGGCAGCATGTGTATCACCCTCATGTGGCACAGCACATGTTCCTGCACCTGGTGTCAGCCATGTTACGACATGTTGCCAGGCGAGCTCTGTTGGCTTCCTTGCCACTCACACGTTAGCCCTTTCTATTCCCGTCAACTCAAATCTTGCACCAATCGAGTTGAAGGCCGAACACTCTGCCTGTCGTGAAAGTGACACATATTCGGGAAAAGTTTGGTTTGTTTACTGGGGCTGCGGGTTGGCATGCCCAGAAGTACCTATAGGTATCCAGTGTCACGATGGGTTCAGTTCGTTTCGTTTCGTATCGGACAGAAGCTGGCTTCTTGGTGAAGTTCTACTCTGCGTTGCCGGCCCGGGCATCCGTAGCGCTCCTCCCGTGTGTGCTGTGATTCAGCCGAAACAGCGTTTGGTGTGATTGTACTGAGGCTGTCAGATTTTATTCATTCCGTGGCGTCGGGATTGCCTGCCGCTCTAGCACGTAACGGTTTGCAAGGTTCTGCAATGTTCTGCATTCCCTTTCGCGTTTCGGGCTTGCTACGTGCGTTTTATGGACGTACAGCTCCCTTTCTCGAATTTGGGGTTTGTTTATCCGCCAGTTCAGTTTTCCGATTGCATCAGCCATGACCTCCGACCGTAAAAGAGCCGAACGGACCAAAAACACAGGCACCCCAAAAAATACTGCAGACAGACTGCATTTGGGGTGTGAACGAGCCAAATTTGTTTGAGGTTTGCGTTTGCGCCCGGAGTTCGGGGTTTGCCACACGATTCAGGGCCCAAGGTTTGTCAGTCCTGTTCCTGACATACCAATGGAGGCTTGTATTGCACGCCAATGCTGGCGCGATGAAGAGCTTGGCTGAATTTAGTCGAGCGTGCCAGCCATCAGAGACACGGTTTCAAACCGAGACGAAACTGCCTTGGTTTCGAGCGGTGAAGGAAACGTCACCACCGCCCAAAACTCTGAGCCCCCGAGCCGCTACTGTTAGGTGCCGCCAGCCACAGCGTTCCACATGTTTCCTTGCTGTATCCTGTGGTGTGGACTTCGTGACTTCGCCTGTGGATGCTTCCCGACGAGATCCCTGCTGAGCCCTGCTGTTTTAGCCACCCTGCATTGCAATTCCCCGACCTGTCCAACACCTGGTTTCCGCGGCTCCCACGGACTGTCGCTTCCCGTCCCGCTCCTTGCGGGTTCAGGGTCTGCCTCCCCGCTTCTTCAGCGGATCATGTAGCTGAGGATGGGATGCTAGAGCTCGGTGTGGTTTGAATGGAATAATGGAGAGAGATGGAGTTTTTGGGAGGGGATCCTTTCGAAGGGATCGCAAGGAGCCTGGTCGCTGCCGGGCTCTGCCGGCGCTGCGAAGTGCGGCTGACCTTCGATCCACAGAGCGAAGCTGCTGGGGTCCAGGCCTTTGGGACGTTCTGATTTCTTTGGGATCGCCCTCCATGTTTATATTCGCAGTGCTTGCTGAAGATCGTCTGGCATGTCTCCAACTGTGCATAACTGCTCGTCCTGTTGTTTATGACACTTCTCTGGCATGGACAACACGTCTTGAAGTGCCCAGTGAGACCCCGGCAGTGACAGCAACGGTCCTCTTGGTTCTGGAATTTCAATAATTTCGGTTTGCCAGGCATCATTCCTAGGCCAAGTACGGGTCAAGGCCCTAGCCAATCCGATCATCGCAGATATCGTTCTCGAAGGTCGCGTCTTCTTGAGCTCGCTGAAACAGCTTCTGTCGCCGATGTTTTGTCAACGTCCGATGACTTGAGATCGTTTTCAGTCGTGATGGATTGTGGCAGTGGCCCTTTGATAGCACAATGTCCTGTGCACAATCGCAGAAGCTAGAGGCCGAGGAGTTGATGCATGGGATCATCAACCTTCGCTAGATCCTTCACCCGTTGGCGACTTCGCCGCTTCACTTTTTCTCCGGCTGCCGGCAACGCTTTCAAGCCAACGTCGTCGGTCTTCCGTGTCTGATATTAACCACATGTCTGAAGGCAGGCTTGGCATTCGTTCTCAGTTCCTGCACTCGTGTTGTCCTTGCGAAGTTGTCACAGTTCATTTCTTCATCCGACGCGAGTCGCGAGCCCTGGCAGGTCCATTCCTTCGGCACCAGCCGGAGCAGCAGCAAAACCGACACGCAGCTAGCTGAAATCGTGGCAGCTGGCCTGCACCAGAGCTCTGCTGGGCAAGGAATTTCGCCTTTCTGTAGGACAAGTGCGCTGCTGCAATGCTTGGAGCTTCCCCTGCCCTGATTGCCGGCATGTAACAACAAACTTCTGCGGCCCAGACGCAATCGTTTGACTTTCGCCCGAGCAGTCTCCAGCGGGACCGGGCTTGTGATTTGCAATGTGGTGTGCTGCCGGAAGTTGTCGTAGTCCGATGTGCCGGGAGAGAGAGAAGAGAAACACAGAAAGGCAGAATCACAAAACAATGAGAGAGACAGAGGGAGAGAGAGAGAGTGGTTTAGGAGCGGTGTGCTTTCGGGGGGGTTGCCAACACTGACACTCGGAGGAACACTTCTTTCCACCCCCGAAAAGGGGCCGAGAAGACTGAGGCCTTCGGGCCAAGGGTCCGCCGGGACCCTACACCCCTTCGCAATCTCAAGCAAGCAAGAGAGAGAGAGAGAGAGAGATCGAGATCTGCGTTGGGTGTAGTCCGTTGGGGCTGGGAGCTTGCCCCCATACCCCTACTTGTATCAATCAAGCCAGCAAGAGAGATCTCGCTCTCTCTCTCTCTCTCTCTCTCTCTCTCTCTCTCTCTCTCTCTCTCTCTCTATAATATATATATATATGTATGTATGTATGTATGTATGTATGTGTGTATGTATGTATGTATGAATGAATGTATGTATGTATGTATCTTCTTACCTACATCTGTATCTGCAGCTGTGTCCCTATGTCAATATCTGTATATGTATCTACACCTATACTTACACTTATGTTTAGCTATATCTATAGCTAGACATATATATCTATATCTGTATGTACATAGCTATGTACGTTTACATCTGTGTCTCCAGGTCTCTGTAGATATGCATATACATATATGTATCTCGCTCTCTCTCTCTGTATGTGTGTATGTGATATGTATATACCTATATCCATATCTGCCTATATATACACAAGTTTATCCATATACCTACATGTCTGGAGTCTGTATAACTGTATCGTCTTTACCCACATATCTATGCATGTGTATATCCATAAAATATCTAGCTTCTAGATGTCTATGTATCTACATATATGAGTTTACAACATCTATATCTAGGCCTTTTCGTACATGCTTACGTAGACAAGTAAAGAATGCATACATCGATTGTAGACAGCCAGGTAGGTTTGCATGCATGTGTGTAGGTGTGCAGGTCGGCAGGCAGGCACTTAACAATGTAGGTATGCAGCTATTTAGGTAAATGTAGGCATGGAAGTAGATACGTGTGTATGTATGTAAGCGTGTGTGCATGCATGCATTTGTGTCCGTCTGTCGGTCTGTCTGTCCGTCCGTCTGTCTGTTTGTCTGCATGTATACATGTGTGTGTGTATGATTATGTGTGTACATGCGCTCTATGTAGATATGTATTTGTAGGTATACATGTGTGTGTGTATATGTGTATACACATCAGTGTATGTGTGTAGATATGTATGCTTGTTGGTTTCCATGCGGTAAGTATCTAGGCAGGTGGTGGTTGGGCAGACAGGCAAGCAGGCAGGCGGCCATATATACACATGTTTACATGTTTGTATATACAACTGCACAAAACATATATATATATATATATATATACACATACATGAAGATTTGCGTACATACATACATACATACATACATACATACAGGTTCGCAAATGAGACGGCCTTGCCTCGTTAGCCACCTTAAACATGCTTGTGACATGTTTATCCAGTTCATATGCCATCTTGTTTTTCGCCTGCAGGACCTGAACCTCAAAGGTCCTCTGTTCCAACGCCTTTCAGCGCAGCTTGGCTTCAACCCAGAAGCCATTTGTTGCTTCGGTCTGCATCTGAAAGTCTCCTTCCTGAGAGCAAGCGTCTCCGCTTTCATCGAGTCTCTACAGACAAGGTACGGACACTTCGGTCGCAAGGAGTTGGATTTGCCATGGGAAAAGCCCAAGGCCTTGGTCCAAAACAACCACTGACTGAAATCGTCTTAGACGCGTCTGAGAGAGGTGTGGGTTTGAGCTGCGATTGAATCTGCTGCCTCCTGCCAGGCGCTGCAGTGAGAAAGATGGAGCAGCAAGAGAAAAAAGCCGAGCGTCTCTCTGGTTCCGTTGCCAGAGTCCCCAGTTAGGAGGAAGTTGCAAGTTGCAAGGGGTGCCTGTGAAGGTCTGCGCCTCAGCAGGTCTCAGCACATTGCCTCGCCTCTCCAGTGCCCATTGCTTGCCGCTTTGGCTCTGGCTCCGCGGGGTTCTTGTTTTGTCGTAGGGGATGTGCCGGAGGAGCCCCCCCATCGCTTTTTGAGGCCTTGGGCCTTGGGCTCTGCGTCTCTACCTCTCTTTCTGCGACGTTCTGCGTGACCCGAGGCATAAATGGCTAGTTCGGGCAGCAACGGAACGATGCTCGTGAAATGCGAGACCAAGAGTAATCGGGTCAAGGCTCGCAGCTGTTTCTCGGTGCTTGCAGCATGTCGTAGCGGTCGGCTTTGTCGAGCATGCCTAGCAGGGTCTGCGTGTGGTCTGGCTGCTTCCAGTTGCCTAGTCTTGAGTCTGATTTTCCGACTATGCAGATCCTTCCAGCCCGTCGCCATGCACATTCCAGCCTGCCAGGGCTTAAGCTTTCATCCCAAGCTCTCTTGGATCCTGGCAAGTGGCAGTCTCAGAAATCTGGTTTTCGGATGAGCGCGGTGGTTCTACGGTGTGGGCCTGGTCCAGTCGTTGCACGGGAAGAGAACTTTTCGACAGGCTGAGACCTTTTTTTGAGGAGTTTCGCCCGTCGGATGGTATGCAGGTGTGCATGTAGCGCCCGCAAGCTCCTCTTCCTACTCAGAAGTGAGTGGACTTGGGGATACCTGACTTTTCACAGTTACTGAGGTCAGCCTCAGGGTTTCGAGGTATTCTATCGTGATATCAGACTCAAGCGTTGGTAGCCTTTAAACGTGCCGTCGGTCTTGTCCGGCAAGGTCTCCACAACGGCACGATCCAGCTGTGGGACTACAGGATCTGGGCTGCTGCAGCGTAGATGCGAATGGAGTCTGCGTGCTTCCTCGCAACAAGCTCAAGGAAACATTCACCCGTTGTGCTGCTGATGCCTTCCTTGCGAGAGGATCGGTTCCTTGATTGACAAGTTTGAGGAGCCGGATGATCTGTGGCATGCTGTGGCATCTCTATGGCAGCATGTTCCCGTGCGGTCAGCGGAGCCCCTCCCTGTTGAAAGGAGCACGAGGGTGGTCCTGTGCGAGGCATTTGCTTCCACCTCTCGCAGCCACTGCAAGATGCCAAGTGAGACGGCTGCATGTGCTGACTTGTCCTGGACATGTTTCCCAGCCGCCTTCAGGTTTGTTTCCGGTGGCGACGACTACAAGATCAAAGCCGCGATCCCATTCTGTAGGACTGTAGGGCTGCCATGCACGGTGGCTTCTGTAGGGTCCTGCAGCTTTTGGCAACTGAGGTTTGGAACTACAAGCTCCGAAGATGTATTTTCACTCTTCTAGGCAAGTTTTCCCAAAGCCGCGTGTGGACTTCACACTGCTCTAAACCATTGGTGCAAGTGGCACACCTTCTGAACCGCGTTCCATGTGGGCCAGCCGGCAGCCGGCAGGCCATCTCGACTATATCAGAACGGTCGAGTTCCACGACGAGTACCCGTGGATTCTTAGTGCCGCCCTTGACGTGTCAGCTTTCTGAGACACAGACCCCTACCAGTACGTCTTAAGCAGTTTAGCATCCATGGAGGCATCCGGGGATTCGCCTCAAAGCATCCGTAAAATATGGTGGGTGTTACCAACCCGCCTTGCGAGAAAGTCCAGCTGTCTTGGGAATGACAAAGGATGCATATGTTGAGTATTCCCAACCCGGTCTGTCAGAAAGGCCATGTATCTTACTAGCAATTTGCGGTGCTGTAGGTGCATCAGACGACCAGACCATCCGAATTTGGAATTGGCAGTCAAGCGCTTGGTTGTTTCGTCGGCCACGGTCCCACAAGCATTGCGCGACTTTCTGTGGCAAGGTCGAGATCTTGTATCGCAGTCTGGTGCTCAATTGACTCGAATTGTAGCTGGGTGTGGTCATGTGGGGTCTGTTGCGGGCACCAGGGTACTGCGTTAGAGTCATCAAGGCTTCTGGGTCCGACAGATGAGCGGGGGGGTCCTGCGGCCATGCAGGTCTTGACCGGCCACAATCACTATGTGATGTGCGCACACTTCCACCCCAAGGAGGAGTGACCGCTTTGTCTCCGTGCTTTGAGGGTTTCGGAGCAGCTGAGTGCGGGAACCTTTTTCCATTCAGAGAATGATTGCTTCAAAGATGATCGCACGGGATTGCAGTGTCTTAGTTGTTCAGGTCCCAGCCCGAGGAATGTCCAAGAGCAGAAGTTCCACACGGCATTCGCAGGATCTCGTAGTCTCCGCCTCCTTGGATCAGACCGTGAGGGTCTGGGTGCGGAGCTTTGTTGCTTATTGCCCCAGGTCTTACGTAGTCACTAGACCCCTAGAAGCTTTGTGTTGTCTTGGGCGGCTGGCCGAGGACACTTCGGGGCTGCGAGATAAAACCGTGGCCATCGGTTCGTCCATGGGTGGCATGGGCGCTCCCGGGAAAGGTGCCGGACGCGAGCCAACTTGATACTTCAGGGCACATTGGTTTCTTTCGGTTAACATGCTGAGAACCCCGAACTCATGCTTTACTATTTTGTTGTGCAGCTTTCGGCCGCAGGTGCGAACGACGTCTTCGGCACGTCTGACGCAGTAGTCAAATATGTGGGGCCGACACATTGTTCCCTTGCTAGCCCGGCACTTGCTGCAGCAGCGGTTCTGAGTGTCATGTTGCCAGGTTCTCGAGGGCCACGACCGGGGTGTGAATTGGGCATCCTTCCATCCCACGTTTTGCACTCAAAAAACGCTGGGCTTTCTACGTCTTCGAGTCTGTAGCAGTCTGGAGACCAGCTAAGCTTCGGCGGTTCAACTTGTCCTGTCCCGGACACTCTGACACTCCTCAGCTCATGTCGCATTTCTTTCGTGTGAAGCACGTTGAATTCAGGCAGTTCGCCAATCTCAAAGCCGCAAAAAATCTGAATTCGTCGCCATGCTTCCACAGGCTTCCCCTCATCGTCTCGGGTGCAGACGATAGGCTGATCAAGCTGTGGAGGCGGCACCTATCCTGTGCTTGATTCTCGGGTCTTGCCTCTGCGCACACTCGTAGCTGAAAAGTCTTTGACTGGTACGCAGAGCTGCCAACAAAAAGGCTCTACATTGTAACTGTAAGGGCAACCTTGTGAATCTCTGCAGTTGGTACCAGTGTTTCCTGTCAAAGAACGTCGGACAGCTAACGCAGACATGGAGAAGCGTAATATGTTCTTTATCTAGGTTTTTCTCAAGCAGGAGCTCCGTTTGCAGGTGATGATGCTCTTACTCCTTCGTCTGTTCAACGTATAACTTTCTTTTGGATGCATGCTTGCCTAGTAGTTGTTAGTAGTTAGCAGACGTAGTAGTAGTAGTAGTCGTCGTAGTAGTAGTAGTAGTAGTAGTCGTAGTCGTCGTCGTCGTCGCAGTAATAGCAGTAGTTGTAGTAGCAGCAGCAGTAGTAGTAGCAGTGGTAGTGGTAATGGTATTGGTAGTGGTAATGGTAGTGGTACTGGTAGTGGTACCGGTAAGGGTAGTGGCAGCGGTAGCGGTAGCGGCAGCGGCGGCGGCAGCGGTAGCGGTAGTGGTAAAAGGAGAAGAAGCAGAAGGAGCAGAAGGAGCAGAAGGAGCAGAAGTAGTAGTAGTAGTAGTAGTAGTAGTAGTAGTAGTAGTAGTAGTAGTAGTAGTAGTAGTAGTAGTAGTAGTAGTAGTAGTCAGTAGTCGTCGCGGTGGGGGTGGTGGTAGCAGTGGTCGGCCGCCTCCGCCGTGTCGCCTCTGCCGTCGTCGTGGTCGTTGTAGTCGTCGGCGTAGCTGCAGCACCAGCAGCAGCAGTAGCAGCAGCAGTAGCAGTGGTCTTAGTGTTAGCTGAGCTTGCTGTTAGTGTTCGTACTGTAAGTAGCATCAGTGTTCGGAGTGGTCGTCGTCCTCGTGGTGAAGGTAGTTTTGGTGCTCGTCACGAGCTGTTTTGTGGTGCTGCCAGGATGAACGACACGAAAGCTTGGGAGGCCGGCGAGGATCAAGAATCTTTTGCAGGTCTTTTGAAACAGTTTCCTTGTCCATGTGATTGCTTTGTCGACGCGCGAGGATAAACCAGCTGGATTTGCCATAGTAGCCAGCCGTCCATACAAGCCACGTGTGGGAAAGAAGCATCCTCGAAAGGTGGACACGCTGCGAGGACACTTCAACAATGTCTCGTGCGTGATGCCCTCGCCTCAGTCGGGTGAAGCACTGTTGTCAATTCTGGTGGTGCGAGCGAGGCAGGTCAGCTAAACTGCAAGGTTTCGAGCATGGAGCCCCGGCAGGTTCCATCCCAAAAAGGAGCTGATCCTGTCGAACTCCGAGGCACCCCTGCTATTGAGGCTTCAGGCTGCTGTCTGCTGGTCAATGCAGTGATTTCCGTGCATGACGTACATTCAGCCGTGAGGTGTCGGAGCATCAAAAAACGCAGGCCTAGCATAATGTTCGGCCAGGACAGGACGATTCGAGTCTGGGACGTGACGAAACGGACCGGCATCCACACCTTCAGACGTTTCTCGCCCAGGAAGTGTTGGACAAGCTTGCAACTTGAATTATGGGTTTCAATTCCGGGATTCTTGCATTTTGATTCTCAGGCGAGAACGATCGCTTCTGGATCATCACTGCGCATAGGCCGCGAGCTGTGCTTCGTCGACTTGTGTTTGTCGTGTTTAGAACCAGGACGTGGGTGTGATCCTAGCCGCCTAAGAATACTTTCAAGATAGAAGCCTGCGCCCTCCGTTCCACGACATCTGCAGCACCAGCTGACATCACCGCAACTTTCTCTGGGAGTTAAGTTGCGCTTTGAAGCCAGACCTGGCAGGTCTTCGAATTTAATTGCCGTCGGGCATGATGCAGGGCTCCTTCCTCGGTGGTTTCAGCCATGAACATGCGATGTAAAGACCTGATCTTCGAGGATGGTTGTGTTCAAGCTGGACTGCGAGCGACCCCTGGCGCAGTGCCACGGGCACAGCCTCTTCGTCGTGCAGGATCGCGTGTCCCTCCCCGACCTGTGTACCTAGATACGCCTCAGATGGGTGGCCCAGCTTCTGTCAGGACCGAGAGGTTCAGGTGGTAGACCTTGACAAGGGCCTCAAGGGTGTGCAGCTTGGGCTGGAGCCTCGGCGTGGTCGCCCGTAGGCATGGTAGAAAACGTTGAGGGAGCTACGCTCCGTGCCACTCAGAGGTTTAGTTCGTTACAGGGAAGATGCAGATTCCCTGATGAGGTCCTGTCGAAGAGCTGCCAACGCCATGACATCTGGCTTGAAGTCACTGCAGTCGGTTCCTCTGTGTCTTTTCTCGACTGTCTGGTTTGTTCTGACTGCTTTGGGTTTACTGCCAGGTTCAATACCTACAACCCAACTGAGACCAACGTCTTAGTCTTCTACACGCAGGTGCACGCCGTGCTGCGCCTCACGCATCTCACACGTCTTTGATGAGCGTTCACGACTACTGAGCGGAGTCCCGGACGTCTGCATTGGCAGGATGGTGGTTGCTATGACCTTTTCGTGGGCCAGACTCTCAACCAAGCACGGCTGCCTCTCTGAAGCCGCCGTTTTGCCTAGCATTTGCAGCTGCGAGGAGCTAGCAACATCACTGCAGACACGAACATCTCCCCGAAGCAGGGCAATGCACAGGCAGACAGCTGCCTGCAACAGTTGCTGCTAGCTCTCGTCGCTGATGGGATCGGAGGCATATGCATGTATCTACATATGTATGAATGCATCTGTGTATCGAACATCTCCACGTGAAATATGGCTCAGTTCAGGACAGTCATGTTGCTGAACAGGCTGCTAGAAAGCCTCGTATCCTCCGAACATTGCAAGAGCCCTTCCGCAGTGCTAGGGCGCATTATCGACTTGCAGGTACGGGTTGACAGTGAGTTAGCAATGTAAGACCTTTTTACGTGAGGTATTCTCCGCCCTAGGGGTGTCGTACCAACTACAACTTCCCCTTGGGGCAATAGTACAGATCTAACAGAAGCAAGAATTAGAGGGAAGAGTATGTGAGTAGTGTCACAGTGTTTCAGCAGAGCTCTTCTCCTCAATCCGCTTTGGCTCGAGAGCACAAGAGGTTTACACGGGACAGGACTACCATTTTCTAAGCTTGCACCAAATCATCAAACAAACGGGGTTTCAGCGTGGCCATGGGTCACACCGCCACGAAGCTGAAAGACTTTGTCTTTCCGCAAGGGCCTCGTCGGCGGACGCACATAGGGGCAAATTACAATCATGCCATGGTTTTTGGACTGCCTGTTGAATCCTGTTGCTCTTTCCTCCTTCGCTTAGGAAGAAGCACCGGAACATTGTGCTTTGTGGCCGAAGCCTCGGATGTTGCGGAACATCTGGAAGGATGGTGATTTTCGGTTCGGATGTCTGGATCTTTTCTCTGATGCCGATATATTTTCACGATAGTAAAGAGCATGAAGGCGCTCGATGCTCGGGCTTTTGAATTTGTTCTGGGTGGTTGAGTAACCTTCTTCGTGCCTGGTAATGTCCACGTCCTGAGGCCCCAATGCAGCCGGCAAGACCACTCTGCTCTACAAGCTGAAGCTGCCAAACGTGTTCCGGCAGAATCCGACAAGAGGTTGGAGCTCTTGCTGCGGCTGCTCCGTGCTCGATTGAGGAGAAAATCACCGTGATGCCCACCATTGGCTTCAATGTCGACGCTGGGGATGAGTTTGGCAGATAAATGGAAGCATGTTGTTTGCTCCTCGATTCCTTCGTTCGTGTGTGTGTGTGTGTGTGCCTGTTGATCGGTGCCATGTCATTCGGCATGTTCTCAGGAGTCTATCGAGTACAATCTCCAGGTCTTTGACGTTCTCTCCCTAGTTGTGATTTTCGCTACTTCTGTGTGAAGATAAAATGAGACAGCAAGGAGCAGCCTGAAGCTCAGATTGAAAGTTTGTTTGACCCGAGATTTGGGACCTTGGTCTTCGAAGCAAGGCGCGGCCTCTCGCAACTTGGCACAAACTATGTGCAGTTGTTCTTGAAACTTTTTGCTCAGCTTCGACTCATCCTGAGCGTCGCAACTTTGGGTTTAGATGGAGATGTTGACCTGCCGTTGGTTTTTTGGTTTGCTGCCTGGGCAGTTCTGGCAAAGGTTTTCACCCTTCAAGATCCCAAGGTCAGGCACTATCTACCGAATTGCCATGCCGTGGCGTTCATGGCCTCTCGGTGCTTCAGTCCTTGCCAAAGAAAGTAGCCGACTTTGTGCCCTACTGTAGCGTAAGTCGTGCAAGACTAAGATTGATGTGCATGACGACGACTGGCAGGATGCTGAGGCCGTGGTTCTTGCTGCTTCGGAAACTGCGCAGATTTCCGTACGCCCGACCGTCGTGGCAGGACTTCTTCGGTTGTGTCCTGCATGGCCTGGACGATCACAACAACCCCCATGTGCCGTTTCTCATCTGGGTGAACAAGCCCCCTGGAAGCAGCCTTAATTCCGTGCAGCTGTGAATCTACAACATGTCGCTGTAGATGCCCCCAAGACAGCACTGTTTCGTCTCCCGACCCCGGTACCCACCGGTACCCAGGATGGATCTGCCTTTGAAGGTCCAGCCCCATGAGGTTTGCGAAAGGCTGGAACAGAGCTGTTCTGCAGATAGATACCATCAGGGCATCAGTCAGGGACATCGGAGCTCGTTCTCGAGAACCCGACGGGTTCCGGTGCACCCAAGAGTCGAGACCGGACTGGCAGGCTGAAGCTGGAGCAGCTTGCAAGATCCCATCCTGTCCTTGTCCAGCCTTGCGTCGTGTTGAAGGATGCTACTTGGTGGTGCAAAGAGAAACCCGATCCTTGCGCAAGGGGTTGTGATTGGATTGAGCGGTATAGCTTCAAGACTGATGCAAGCAAGAGTGCACGGGCGAACTGTGGTTGAGAGTTCGGGGCCGAGTCTTTGCCCTTGCGGCCTTGTGCGCAACAGATCCGCAAGCAGCCGAAAGGACCTGAATCAACATCAGCGATCAGGGCCCCGGGGCCTCAATTCACCGAGGAAGGCATCAAGGAGGGCCTCGACTTCCTCAGTGCGGCCATCGCCGGCGAGATCCCATTTGGGCTTACTCTGGTGGCCTCTTGTGCTTTCGTGTTCGTGGCTTCAATGTTCTTCCGGGAATATTCTGCCATGAACGAACGTGGCAGCGTCCAGGCTTCGACTCCAGAGACATCCAAGCTGGAATCGACTTCGCCAGCAATTGCTCCGTGTCCTGGCCGCATCTGGCTGCGCAACGGTGCCATGGCATGCTGCGTCCTCGGCCCATGTGCGCAGCCCAGCAAACATCCGTGCGACGGATGAAGCATTCGCGTAATCAGAGTGGAGACATGCCTGTGCTCTGTTCTCATGCAGTGTGCCAACCTAATCCATTGAAGAGCACTCATGTGCATCTGCAATGTGTCGTGCGCCGTGTTGTAACTGCACAGGCCTACGAAGCCCAGCCCAGGAGGCCCGAAATGCAGTAGGTTGCAGCGTGCAGACGGGGTTTAAGCATGAGGTCAGACCTGTGCTTGGCGTGCTGACTGTAGTGGTGTAGAAAGCCTTGCAAGGACTCAGAATCTCCAGTGCTGCAAAATGCTGCAAACTGGCTCCGTCCACCTTGCAAGGTGAAGTCCCCAACAGTGACGAGGTCTTCTTGGAGGTACCATGCACGCCTCCAGATCTCAGTTCCGATGACTGACTAGTACTTAGTAGCGGTGTCATCATGCAAAGATGCTGGTGCTGGCGTGTCAGCGGCCGTGAAGGGTTCCTTGCAGTTTGAGCCAGCCCACCATATTCGGTTTGAGCTGTGCAGCTCTACCGTATCGGCGCGTGCAGAAGGATCAGCGATCTTCGACAGCGTTGTTTGTAGCATCCCACCACACCCACTGTGGCAGGCTTTCGAAGCTGGAGAGCTGCCAAGCTTCGGCCCAAAGGACTCGCTTGCCACAAGCCTGTGCCGAGCAGTGCCTGACCCTTTGCATGCTCAAGTGAGGCTAAGGCTAGGTCACTCCAACATCGCACAATGTGACAAAGGTAACGTAACGTCCGTTGATGCATACGGCCAACTCTTGCGCTCAGAATCGGACAGGAGATGATGCGCCTGGCCTTCCTGCAACGCCGTCGCGGTGGCACTGCGCAGATGACCCTCCAAGCGGCCAAGCTGACAGGCGCCTGGGCAGATCCGGCAAGAAAGTCGTGGGTGTAAGGAGCTTACGATTTCCGGAAGTGATGTTTCGGGTCTCGTGCAGCAATGCTCACCGAAGATAGCCTTGGCAAAGCAGCAGCGGAGCGGAGGAGGGGGAGGATAGCTTCTCAGGACACAGTTTGCACAGCGACATGTTTTCACGCCTGTTGTGCAATTTCAGGCTACGTCAAGCACGCGGCTCGCCTTCAGTGTTCTGGCTGAGCTGGAACAGCACTTCAAGCGCCAGCTGAAATTCACGACAGATTTCCAGTTGTTCGTGCCGAGCGTTTTTCGTATTTCGACAATTTGTCTTTTTCGTGCCAATACCCAGGCTACGCGGATGCATTTCTGGGCCTCTCGAGTGCCGCTTGGCCTACGGTTTGCATGAAGCCAACTGTCGGGGCAGGCTTCAGGGACAGTTTCCAAAGTTCTGGGGACTAGGTTTGTTGGCACAAGTCCAGCCAGTACTGTACGTTAGTATGTTGACATCTACATCGGTTCGCGGAGCTGTCTGGTTTCGAGCAGGTTCGAGACACCCCTGGAATCTGCCGAGACATCTCTCGGTTTTTTAGCAACGCATCCAGACCTCTTTCCTGAAGACGCAGATGCGCAGGAGCCGCTCAGCAATTCGTACTGTCTCGTTCAGCACGTTTCATTCGCTTCTGCGAGCGGTGCATAGTCTCTTCGGGCCCCTGCCCCCTCTGCAGGAAGCATTGATCGCTGCGGCATACAGCGTCGCTTGTCTCAACAAATGCAGGTCCACGCAGATGAAGCTTTGTGGACGGAGCCGTCTACTATACTCATCGAATTGGACACGTTTCATCTGTAGAGATTAGTGGCTGTAATTCTCAAGAGAGACGGGGCCGATCGAGGGCGCCGGCATTCAACTAAATGTCTGCGAGGAGCGTATCGACACAGACCCCACCTGGGCGCTCGTGGCACAACCACCGGACCGGCTCTGCAGCGACGGAAAGGAGGTGGAACAGACGGATGGAGATTCAGACCTTGGGCGGTTTGCCAGCTCTCGCAATGAGGCAGATGCGGCTTTCCTTGCCAGAGTCGAAGACCTCATGATCGAAGCAGATGAGCTCAACTCGTCAGCAGCTCAGTGCCGAATCCTCAAGAACGAATCACGGGAGGCTTGTCAAAACGACACGTGACGCCTAAAGACCCCGAGCAAAGAAACTCAGCGCTTGTGCAGTAGCAGCCACCAAGACATCATCGTCATCCGTGTCGTGTCGTAGTCATCCGCCATCTCTTCATACGCACTTTCAAGTCATCTTCATCTGTACTGCAGTCAAAAGTCTTTATCGTCAGCTTATATAGGAGCTTGCTTAAACTCAGTCCAGTGTCGTGTCGAAACTACGGCTGTACATTTGAGCCGATGGAGGCTGGAATGCTTGTGTTCGAGGGTGGGGTTTTGCTTTGCGCCGTTTTGGCCGAAGCTTTCTTGGCCGATGAGCTGCTTCCCAATACTAGGTTTTTGGGTTGGGATTTTGGTTTTAGTCTCAACCTTTTTACTTTCGGTGGGCGAGGGTTTTCCGTTCGGCAACCGAGCATGCAGCGTCCCACCTTACAGGAGTTTGCTGACTCAGGATGGAGTTGGGTGGTGAAGGAAAGCTCATATGCCCAATGTAATATACCACATGCCAGTTGCAAGCATTTGCTCAGCCGTGCTCGAGTGGTGTGGCCTCTGAGGTTTCGGTCGGTGGTCCGGTTGGCATTCACCTTGCTCTGCCAACAGGATCGCAAGGCAACTCGGGGCTAGTCATCCGGACTTGTTTACGGCTTGTCCACTTCTCTCGCTGTTGCTTGTGATCGCTGAAACGGCGATGAATCCGCAGGGTGTTTCTTTTCTCTTGTTTCCATTTGCCCACCTTCTTTGCCCAGTCGGCCATCAAGCGGCTCGACACGGCTTTGCAGAAGCTGGCAGAGGCCTCTTGTTGAGGATTTCCGGCCCGCATCTCAACCTCTGCGGTACCGTGCTTCTCCTGTCAGGGTTGGACAACACCCGCCGGGGAATCTGCTCTGCGCCCTTTCCATGAGACACGACAGTATGTCGATGTCTCACTTGGGATCAAGATTTCGGGCAGCCGGCACCTGTGACCCCATCACATTCTGATACCACTCGCTCGAGGTTGCACTGCAGCTGGCCCACCTGGCTTTGACGCAGTGTCCGGAGTTGAAGAAGGGCAGCTTCTCCAAGTTGGAAGAGCGCTGCCCCGATCTTTGTGATGAGGATTGCGCGAGAGCGTGCAAGCTGCCTGCCAATCCTCCTCGAACGTTGCTGAGCCTTGCTGCAGGATTGCATCTTCAAGTACTACTCGGAAGAGGCCGCTTGGTCAAGCAGTTACGTCTCCTGCAGATGTTGGTCCTTGATCGTTTGGCCGAGAGCAGAGGTTCTGCAAAACGGCCAAAAGGCTTTCGTCCCTCCAGACCGAGAGCCGTTGCCCTCCGTGGTGAAGGTTCCCGACCAGAGCCCCAGCTGCCTTGGTCTTCGAGCAGACAGTCCTGGACTAATGAATATAATGTAGGACATTGACACGTCAGGGAAGTATGATCTATGCATGGTTGACAATTATTTAATGTATCTATCCTATATATACACGTATGATATGTGGTAGCCTCCCCAACAACCTATGTTTTATACTGTCGACACCACACGACAGTCATGGAGAAGATACCATTCAGGCGTATCAGAATAAAAATGACAGCACACGAATACATATCCTTTCTTCCTGCTCACTAGGACCTCGGTGCATTAAAGCTTAAGTTTCCAATCCGGAGTTCAATGCAACCCGCCCGGCGGAAGAAGAACCAATATGCTCGGGATTTCTCGATTCTTGGTTCCCCGTGGCTTCTGCTTCTGGCTGTAGATGTCAAACTTCCTCCGTGCTTGGAGAGCTACTTCTTGAGCGGTCGCCCTTCCACTAGGTCACTAGGGCCATCTCAGCATCTCCTTAGTCGTGTAAATCTTCGCGATATCATAGACCCCTCTTCACCTGAGGCAAAGCCTTTCCTGCAGCATAGCCCTAACTTCTATCGCCATAGCGACCTAACTAGCGATCTCCTCTTACTGCTCCAGATCTCCTGTAGGGGTCTGTACGAACCGGGTAGAATTCCTACGCGGAGACGTTCCTGTCAAGAGGTGGTCTAGGAAGTACGGGTCCAGTCTATGTAAATGGCTACCTGTTCCAACTGTCCCCAAAACAAAGCTTGGCTTGGCTTGGCTGGCAAGCAACTTAGTTTTTTAAGGGTTTAGAGTTTGGCACCCAACATCATCTCGTTTTAGGGTTTAGGGCTTGGCTAGCAACATCTCCTTTTCGGGTTTAAAGATTGGCAACCAACATCTCCGTTTTTGGGTTTAGGGTTTGGCAACCAACAGCTTGGAGATTGCAAACCAACACCTCGGTTTAGGGTTTAAGATTTGGCGTCCAACCTTCTTCGAGTGAATATGTGGTTCGGCAACAAACATTTGCATTTAGGGCTTGGGGTTTGGTTACATCCAACATCTCCTGTTCGGGTTTAAAGATTGGCAACCAACATCTCCGTTGTTGGGGTTTAGGGTTTGGCAACCAGCATCTCCTATTAGAGCTTAGAGATAGCAAACCAACGTCTCCGTTTTAGGGTTTAGGATTTGGTAACCAACATCGCAAGCCAACATCTCAGTAAAGGGCTTAAGGTTTGGCAGCCAAACCTTTTTGAGTGAATATGTGGTTTTGTAAAAAAAACATTTGCCTTTAGGGCTTGGGGTTTGGTGGCATCCAACATCTCCTTTTCGGGTTTAAAGATTGGCAACCAACATCTCCGTTTTAGGGTTTAGGGGGTGACAACCAACATCTCTTTTAGGGCTTAGAGATTGTCAAACCTAGGGTTTAAGGTTTGGCAACCTACCTTTGTCGAGTTAATACGTGGTTTTGGCAACAAGCATTTGCGCTTAGGGCTTGGGGTCTGGTGGCATCCAACAGCTCAATATCTCCGTTTGGGGTTTGGGTTGTGGCAGCCAGCATTTTTCTGTTGTATGCCGAGTTTGGCAGCCAACCTTTGTTTTCAGATTAAAGGTTTGGTGGAGGGTCTCTGATTCAAATTCAAAGCAGAGTCGCAGTTCGAATGCAAGCCTAGTGACATGCGTCTGCAATTGGCCGCCATACAGCACCGAATCTGTTTGAAAAGCCGCTAGACGGCGAAACTAGTTTCCGTGCTGAAAAGAACTGCGCGAATTGTGCAGCTGGCTTGATCTTACACCCCAGTAGACAGGAAAGAAGAACGGGGTCCGGTCTATATGAACGGCTACTTTTTCCAACTGCCCCCAAAAAGCAAGGCGACTTGGCTTGGCTGAACGGGGTGGGGTTTAGCAACCAACATCGCCTTTCAGGGTATAGAGTTTGCCGCCATCCAACAACATCTCCGCGTTGGGGTTTGGGGCTTGGCGAGCCCTTTTCGGGCTTAAAGATTGGCAACCAACATCTCCGTTTTTAGGGTTTAGGGTTTGGCAACCAACATTTCCTCCTTAGCTTAAAGGAGATGTTGGATACCAACCACATGTTCACTCGAAAAAGGTTGGTTACCAAACCTTAAACCCTAAACCGAGGTTCTGGTTTGCGATCTTTAAGCTGAGGAGGAAATGTTGGTTGCCAAACCCCTAAACCCTAAAAACGGAGATGTTGGTTGCCAATCTTTAAGCCCGAAAAGGGCTCGCCAAGCCCCAAACCCTAACGCGGAGTTTTTAGGGTTTAGGGTTTGGCAACCAACAGCTTGGAGATTGCAAACCAACACCTCGGTTTAGGGTTTAAGATTTGGCATCCAACCTTTTTCGCGTGAATATGTGGTTCGACAACAAACATTTGCCTTTAGGGCTTTGGGTTTGGTTACATCCAACATCTCCTGTTCGGGTTTAAAGATTGGCAACCAACATCTCCGTTATTAGGGTTTAGGGTTTGGCAGCCGACATTTCCATATACGGCTCAGAGATTGCAAACCAACATTTCAGTTTAGGGTGTAAGGTTTGGCAACCAACCTTTTTTGAGTGAATTTGTGGTTTTGCAACACGCATTTGCCTTTAGGGCTTGGGGTTTGGTGGCATCCAGCATCTCGTTTTCGGGTTTAAAAAGTGGCAACCAACATCTCCTTATACGGCTTAGAGATTGCAAACCCAATATTTCAGTTTAGGGTTGAAGGTTTGGCAGCCAATCATTTCTCGAGTGAAGTTGTGGTTTGGCAACAAACACTTGCCTGTAGGGCTTGGGGTTTGGTGGCGTCCAACATCTCCTTTTCGGGTTTAAAATTTCGCAACCAACATCTCCGTTTTAGGGTTTAAGGTTTGGCAACACACATCTCCTTGTAAGGCCTTGTGAGGCTCAGAGATTGCAGACCAACATCTCTGCGTATGGTTCAAGGTTTGACAACCAACCTTTTTCGAGGTAATACGTGGCTTTGGCAACGAACATTTGCCTGTAGGGCTTGGGGTTTGGTGCCATCCAACATTTCCTTTTCGGATTTTAAATTTTGGCAACCAACATCTTCGTTTAGGGTTTAGGGTTCGGCAACCAATATTTGCTTTGAGGGCTTAGAGATTGCAAGCCAACATCTCCGTTCTTGGTTTAAAGATTAGGCAACCACATTTTTTCGAGTGAAGATGTGGTTTGGGAACAAACTGTTGCCTTTGGGGCTCGGGATTTGGGTTTGGCAACCAAACATTTCCGTTTAGGGTTCACTGTTTAGCAACCAATATTTTTTCGCAACATCTCGTTTAAAGTTTTAGCGTTTGGCATCCAGCATCGCCTTTCAGGGTGGTTTTGGCCCTAACCATTCCGGGTTTTTACAGGGGCTTCGCAATCAACATCTCCTTTTTCAGGTGTGGGGTTCGGCATCCAGATTGACAGCCAGCATCCGGTGTTAGGGTGTAGAGATTGGCAAGCAACATCTTCGTTTATTGTATAGGGTTTAGCATCCAACATCTACTTGTAGGGTTTAGGGTTTGGCAAGCGGCATTGGGTTTAGAGGTTGGCAACCAGAATGTCCGTTTAGCCTTGGGGTTTAGGTAATGTTGGGCAACCAACATCCCCTGTCAGGGCTTAGAGATTGGCAGCCAACATCTCCGCTTTGCTTCTAGGGTTTGGCAGTTAGCCTTTTTCGGGCTTATTTAGGGTTTGGCCGCCAACATCTCCTTTCAGGTTTGAGCATTTGGCATTGGCATCGAAAGTCTCCTTTTAGGGTGGGTTTGGCACCAATTTTTGCGGGCTCATATAGGGTGTGGCTCAGGTGTACAGCCAGTGTCGATTGTTAGGGTGTTGAGATTGGCAAGCACTATGTTCGTTTGTGGCATAGGTCTAGCATCCAGCAACTACTTGTTGGGTTTAAGGGTTTGGCAAGTAGCATTGGATGCCAACCAAAATCTCTGTTTAGGAACCCTAAACTTCTGAACTTTAGGGTTTAGGTTTTGGCAACCAACATCTGCCGTTAGGGCTTTGAGGTTGGCTGCCAACATCTCCGCTTTGATTTTAGGGTTTGGCAACCAACCTTTTTTCGGCTTTATTTTGGGTTTGGCAGCCAACATCTCTTTTAAGGTTTAGCGCTTGGCATCCAACATCTACTTTTATGGTTGGCTAGGCAACCAGCATTCGTTTCCGAGCCAGCTTATTCGGGTTGGTTTCTGGGTTTTATAGGTTTGGCAACCCACAAGTTCAGGGTCTGGCATCCAACATCCCCTTTATTGGTTCAGAGTTTGGCAACCAACATGTTCGTTTAGGGTTTAGGGATTAGGAACCAACAGTGTTTTCGGGTTTCGTTAGGGCAGGGTAACCAGCTTGTCCTTTGAGGGTTTAGGGTTTGACAGCCAACATGTTTTTTTCGGGTATAGGCTGTGGCAGCCAACATCTTCTTTTCGGGTTTAGAGCTTGGCAACCAGCGTCTCGTTCCAGGAAGCTGGGTTTGGCAAGCAACAGTTTTTCGGGTTCATTTAGAGATTGGCATCTAACAGTTCCTAAGGGTTTAAGGATTTGGCAACCGACATTAAGAGATTGGCAAACAACATGTCCGTTCAGGTTTTAGTTTTTGGTAGCTTTGTTCTCTCGGACTTAGTTAGGACTGGGCAACCAGCATTTCCTTTCGCGTTCAGGGTGTGGCAGCCAACATATTTGTCAGGAAAGACATTGAGCTTCAACCGAGCCAGCACAGACCGAAACTAGCCACATACTTTGAAGAGTTTAGGCTTCAGCGCGCGGACGAACGGGCACCTACCTCCCCACATGTGTATGTATTTGTGTATGTATATGTGTAGGTAGGTTGGTAGGTAGGTAGGTAGTCAGGCAGTGTGTATCTGTATCACCTGATATGCTTGCACAGATATATGCATCTGCATGCAGACATGCATGCATACATACATATATACATACTGCTGTTAAAAAGAATGCAAAGCGGACATAAACAACTGCATGTTCAATAGCTACAGACACTGCAGATCGATGTTAGAATAGATGCAAGTATAAACGAATCAACAAATAACAAATAAACATATACATCAAGAAATGTAAGAGTATGGACATGTAGCTGTATCTATATATATATATATACATATTCGCAGCCACATGCGCATATTAAGGAAGGGCATACATTAATGCATTGGCATACGAATAATTTTCATTATACAAACATACATTCATACATTTGTGTACATACGTATGTATAGAACTGTATATATACACACATACATACATACATACATACATACATACATACATACATACACCCTGCTTAATGCACATGTACATTTGTATACATACTGGAAAGGTATGCGCATATGTATGTGTGTACGCACCAGTGCATATATAGATGTTCTTTGTGTATGTACACATATGTACATGATGTAAGTACATGCATTGAAGTATACACCCACACACACAACTCGCACACAATCTCGTGCAGTACAGACGTTATGGTTCATCGTTTCCAACAGAGCAACCCAGGACCTGGCACGCGGACTTGGACGATGACTCCTTCATGAACGACCCTGGGACCAACACTAAACAACTGTGTTGGAAGGGAGGGATCAAAGTGAACGATAGGATGATGAGGAACAAGAAGACTAAGGGCTGGAGGCATGTGTCAGAATGAACGCCTGCAACGACACCGGGCTTTGCCGCAGGCTGTCCGGAGCCACTCCCTGGGCTCCTGGGGTCTCCAGAGCCTGGCCCGCCTGGCCTACCTTCTTCTCAGGGCAGGCTGGATGCCAGTAGGGATGATGAGAGAGAAAAGCTTCATGGAATGCTGCAAAGGGCGGCGCGAAGGGCTCCAGCAGCTTCTGCAGGCTGGTCGGGTTAACCTTAGTTAGTCCTCCCCACCGGTGGGTTCTCCTTTGGTCCCGCCTCTTTCTTTCAGGGAGGCAGACTGCCTAACCGCAGACGTCGGCCAGCATTTCTTGAGGAAGTATCATATCTGCGTTTCGCATTCAATGATCAGGCAGTCTAGATAAGTGCAGGCCCAAAGCTTGGAATCTGACAGGAAGTGGAAAAGTTGCAAGCCAGTCCGGAGGCATGGTGCTGCTCTGAAATAGATGTGAGATTCTTTAGGAGTGAACTCCGTCCGTCTCAGACTGGTTCTGCAGGTGAAGGCTGGATTGTTCGCGCACGAGACCTTCGCATACTTCACGCTTCACATGGTCAGCCCGGCATGCCAAACGCGAGCGCACATCTAGGTGGAGCGTCGGAGCTCAGGTTCATTTCTACAGCGTCTCGAAGAAGCTGCCCCTTTCGGAGCCCTTTGCAGATTTCGTGCAGAAGTGTGACCAGATTCTTGACACATCCCTGCTTCGGCCCAAGCGGGTTTGTTGTGGTCGCAGTGCAGTCCCTGTGCACCTCTGAAGGCCTCACCCTTTGCTTTTCGATGTTCTGAGGTATCGTTCGTACTACTCAGATGTGCTCATACACGGTGCTCACCTCAAGGAAAATGTGCTTCAGAAGCTGAACACAGTGCTTGGTGCTTTCCCCTGCTGTGCTTTCTCCGGACGCGTGAGTGTGGTGAGGCAAAGAAGCTCGAACTGGGCTCGTTTTTCCTGACTTGCTCCCTCTACCTGATCTTGTCCCTGCCTAGCGGAGACTGGGATGATGCGGACTATCGTGCTGATAGTCTGTGTTTAGATGACATGAAGGTTGCCCACGCCTGCTGGCAGAGCAACTAGGATTAACATTTGTAACAAGTACATACCAACTGTTTGTTGATGGACAAAGCTTCCTCAGAAAGAGGCAGTGCCTTGTGCAGCTGGCACTGCAAGATCAAGCCACGTGTTCTAGGTTTGCAGGCGGACTTCAAGCTAGAAGAAAAGAAGTTCGCAGACCAGGGATCACCGGGGCCATGAAGAGCAAGCGTTCATGGCAATGCGGCAATTGCACTTTCATCGGAGCTTTCTGGTGGTGTCAGGTCTTGCTCACTCGCGTGCACTTGTTCATGCTGTCAGCGATGGAGACACATGGATAGTTATGTATGCGCCCGACTACGTTTGTATGCAAACGAATGTATGTTTGTATGCATGTATGCATGTATGCATGTACGCATGTCTGCATGCATTCATGTGTGCATGTATGCATGCATGCATGCATGCATGTATGCATGTATGTATGTATGTACATACCGTGTTGCGTTGCGCTGAATTGTAATGTATTGTATCGTATAGTACCGTGTAGTACGGTGCGATAAACAAGCATGTATGCATGCATGTCAGCGTACATGTATGCATGTAAGTGACCTTTACCAAAAAGCTCGCTCACTAGCTACGGTGGATGGAGGAAGTCTTGCACCAACTACTTACTACTTAATCCACCGAATCACGGAAGGTCAACCATCCCGTCGTTGCCGGCTGCTTTAATGGACCAAATCCAGAAAACTGTCATTTCATGGCAATGTTATAAAGGGGGTTAAGAGTGAGATTGCTCTTATTGTGCTCGTCCTCCATCCAACGTAGCTAGCTCACCAGCTAGCTAGCTAGCTAGCTAGATCGATAAATAGATAGTCAGGCCCGCAGAGGCGTCAGTCCCTGCATATGTAAGGTGTTTGCACTCGCACGGCTGCTACGAACATACGGGTATAACGACATGCGCCCACGCATGGATGCAAGCATACATACGTACATATGCGCATCAAAGATAGGTACGTGCGTGTGCACTCATGCACATACTTATGCGTATGCATATGCACCGTGATGGCAAGGGTCGAGTGCTGACCCAAGCCAGGCCGTCTGCTTCACCGCGCGGAATCGGTTCGCGGTCCTCCAGCAGGGCGGCTCCGTGGGCCGCAGACCCAGTCAAGCGCTTCGAGGCTAAGGGGCCCGAAGCTGAGAGCTTCTCAGATTTCTGGCGCTGGCGCTTTGAGCCCCAAGGAATTTACAACCTCCAGAATGAGCTTTCCAAGAAGTTTGATCCGCCAGTTTCGGCAGACTTCATCTTTCCAGGCGGATTTCGGGTAGATCCAAATTCCCACCCTTTCCTTTGGCAGATACTTAGGCCCGAGGTAAGACATTATGGCTGAGCATGGAGATGTGCGAAGAACCTTGAAAAACGGTTATAGAATCCCTTGTTCGGCCGTGTGCAGCTCCCTTCGTTGTAGATTTCACATGCATGCAATGTAGATGCATTCCTGAAGAAGATGCACGAAGAAAGAAGGAAGGACAATTATCTTGGAAGTGGCACAGTGAAGACAATATGGAGGTGGAAACAACCGCATCCTGCTCAAGAGTGAAGAGAAGGCATGGGGTCGGGATACGTGGATGCTTGGGAGAGGAAGCCCGCCATGGGATTTACTTATCCGTAGAAGCTGCTGCAAAGGGGAGAAGTGTACCTGCCCAGATTGTGATGTACGACCTGACCGCGCGCAAGACCGTGGATGAGGTCAGCGTGGCAGGAGGTGTGCGGTATGTAGCCGGATTCTCAGAGACACGAGACATACTTTTGAATGGTCCAGCCTAAGGCCCATGACAGCAAGCTGTCGCTTGACCGAGGTTTGGTCGCCGAATGGAGTCTACGTGGCGTTTATGTCCAAGCACAATGCCTGGACCCTGAAGCTGGAAGCGGGGTGGGCCAGCGGCCAGCGGGCGGTGCTGAGTGGGACCACTCAGCTGAGGTCTTGCTGGCGGGTAAGAACCTGGAGCTTCCGCCTTGGGGAGCTCCGTCGTGTCGTCGGCTGATTGGCTGCCCCCTGCCCGCCCACCCAGCTCCATGAGGTATTACCACTCGTTCCATGAGAACATCCGCGTGAAGAGTGGAGCCTGGGACGAGAATGGGGTGCCCAAGCCTCAGCAGCAGGTTTCGGCTGGGAGCGGTGTCTCAGTCACCACTTCTGCCTTTGTTTGTTCCCAGGTTCGTGTACTCCACCCTGAGCCACGTGAAGTACTGCCTCCCCAACGGCTGCTTCACGGCATGCTGAAACATCCCGAACCTGGGGCCCCTGTTTCGCGGCCGCTTCTGCGGATTGCCAAGGTGACAGCGGCATCATCCATTCCTTGGCGAACCCTATCTACATCACACGAGCGCCCTGGATGCAGAAGACAATGTGAGAGAGCTTGCCAAACAAAAATCAGCAAGGGCTGCGAAGCAGTTAGTGTTTATGACGTGCAATGAAAGGTACACAAGCAGATGATGTACTACATTGACAGGGAGCAGAAGGCGCCACGACTGGTCCAGAGCGTGCAACTTGCTCTGGCGCGCGTTGCTTTTTCAGGTCGGGAAGCAGCGTCTGAACTGCTCCGAGTACCTCTTCAAGCGACTAGCCCGCAAAGCTTGTCGCAACGAATGAAGAGAGTGCAGCACTCTCGGACTTTGGAAGCACGTACCTACCTGCAAGGCTTGCGCTTCACAAGCGCAACTTTAATGATGTGAAGCTGTGGATTAGCAATGGCCGGCTTTGTGGTAACGCGGTCCGGAACCCAGACGGAGGTCCAAAGGCATATGAGGGCAGCTGAAGAGTGTCGATTCCGAGTGAGTTTGCGACCATGAGGTGATTGGATACCTGAAATCCAAGGGCTTTCCAGAGGCTGGGCTTCGGTGCATCTCTTGTCAGGCTGTTCCCGTGCCCCTCTCAGGTGGCACTCCACTTCGTGGAAGACCAGCAGACCCGTGCTTCCCCGAGCCCCGAGGGAGGCTGTTCCGATAGACCTTCCTTGCCATCGAGAACCCAAAGCGACGCCTCCGAGCATCCCAGGCTTCAACTTGGCTCTCGAGTGCCCCTGCGTTTGCTAACGCACTGCGACATTTTGCAGCTGCGAGGGTCGGCTGGAAAGTATTTCGGACTCCCTCGCAGCCGGCGGTTTTGAACGAAGATGTCAAGGCTGTTGCAGGTAATTCTCCCGACCGAAGCCTGTGGAATCCACCGGTGATGCTGGGCGCATGCCAGGTACGGTCACATCGAGGAGGCGATTAGAATATGCTTATTTTGCTGCTTTCTTGTGGGACGAGCAGACCCTGCTACACAAGCTACTTGTACTGCTGTCCAAGCCGGGGTTACAGAAGCAAGCACAAAAGCGAGTCAAGCACTTACCATGCAAGCTATGCAGCATTCAAGAGGGGTTGAGATATCCTGGGTTTAGGACTTCTAGTCGCTTGTTGGGTTTCGTGCCTTGGGCTTTTACAACTTAGGGTTTCATGGTTTATGTTTCTACGGTTGAGTGTTTTCTGGGTCTGAGGCCGTCAGGGTTGAGGGCTGGGGCTTTCAGACATTGTATGCTGAACATAGCAATGTAGTCTATACTTGCATCAATACGTGCCAACGTACCTAGTCACCTAGTTACGTGCATGCTGCAGATATATCTAGCTGTCTAACGTTTACGGTTTAGGCTTGCGGGCTTTCTGGAGTTTTGGGTTACTGAACGTGGTTCTGGTGTTTGTCGGATTTGTTTTGAAAGTCAGAGTTTTTCGTAATTGGTCCTTCTTGTTTTCAAGTTTGGCTTCCGAATGTGCCTGCAGCCGCCTGGTTGCCCCGTGCAGGCCATGACAGCGGCCCAGGAACTGGACGAGCGAAGCTGCCGACGCCCAAGGGCACAAGATGACTTCGCTGGACTTGGGGGATTAACCCGAAGCTCGAAAGTTGAATTTCAACCTCAGGGGTTAGGCTGTTGTTATTCGAAGGGAGATCTGACTCTCATTACTACTCGCATCTTTTGTCTTGCCATAGTCCTCGCGGTGACAAACTGCCTCGGAGATTCCCAGAACAAGAACAATTCTGGTCGTAGTGTCTCAGCGTTTCGTCCCGGAGGCTGGAATCGCCTGGGCCTGGAAGCGCTCCGGCAGGGCAACCAGCAGATCGTCGAGATGGTCGGGTCCTCCAGACAAACAACGCAAACAGCGCATCGCTAGCGACAGCCGAAAGGCTCATGATGGCTCGCCGGGGCAGCAGCTGCATAACATGACCACGGTAACATCCGGGTTATGTATGCAGGTGTACCAGAAGACCAAGAATTTTGATGCCTTGTCCTTCTTGTACCTTATCACCGGCAACATTGCGAAGCTACGGAAGCAGCTCTGATGCATTTTTTGTTGGCTAGTGTTGTGCAGCGAGGCCGGAACCAACTCAATGCGGCATGTGTGCTTAATTGCACGGAGCCTTTGATGCCACGGCAGCATTCGTCCATCAGGATGCTCAAGATCGCGGAGATGCGGGGTGATGTCATGTCTCGCTTTCACAATGCCCGGCCCTAAGAAACAGCTCGTGGTGCCACACGGAAGCATGCGAGTTGTTCTGTGCGTGTCTGTTCCGGCCGCAGGCCCTAATGCTGGGACAGGTGGAAGAGCGAGTCAAGATTATGGCCGAAATGGGACAGGCTTGCTGCAAATCGGACGGTCCGGTACTGCAGAATCATTGCAATTGCCATTGGAATGGTTGTCCCCTCCATATTAACATTTTCCCTGACAGCCGCCATAGGTCCATGGGTCATAGGTTGCACAAGGTTTCTGTCGGCTTTTGAAGGCCCTGCTCTCCAAAGCGAATTAGCACGCTCATCGGAAGGTGCCACTGGCAGCGCTAACGGCGCGAGCCCACCGGCTGACGGAGTACATGGAGAAGCTGGAGGAGTGGGGCAATTCCCTTAAGTTTCTTGTCGTTTTCTTTGACGAGGAAACGCCTGCACCCCGAGCAAGAAAGAAGCTGTCGACTTGACGATTGTCATGTGACTGGTTGATGCGAGTCTATCCCACCAAGCCCAGACTCTCCCAATCCGCGAGCTCCACACCCCGGCGCCGAAAGTATCTGGATTGCCAGGGGCTGCAAAAGATAAGAGAACTACCAAACAACACATTGATGTGCTCAGCTCGCCAACACAATTCAGCCAGTGCCCCTCTTTCTTGAGGAGGTCCAGTGTGCTTTTAGAACCAAGATAGAAGCTTCTAAATGCCTGGAGATTGTGTTTCGGCGACAATATAGAGCAGTCTCATCGGACCGCTTCCTTCATTAAGTCACGCGGAGATGGTCATTGCTTTTCAAGCACAAATCAGCCTGCGCAAGCACTTCTGCAAGGGAATGGAGAGGCAACAGGAGTAGTCGGTCGTCAAAGGGATGCGGAAGAATGAAGCGCAGCATCTGCAATCCCGTACAGCCGGAACCTGTAAGCCGCGGAAATCAGGAGCAGCTTCAAGGGAACGACATTTTGGCGCACATTCCGAACAAGACCGTCCTGCTTTTGGCTCAGCATGTTTGGGAATGTATGTTCCCCACGCCCCCAAGCTCTCTCCTGTTCATGTGCGAAGAGACTTCTCCTGTTCATTCCTGCAACACTGACTCTGCTGATGTGTCTCTGGCTCAACGGAGAAGGCTTAGCAAATCAGTCACCATGAGTACTTGCCCGCTCGTTGCAGCTCCCAAGACTATCCATGGACGGCCTGTTGATTGCCCTGCAGCCTCACCGTGCTTTGTTTTGGCTCGGTGCCGGTGCAGGGCTCTGTGTGAAGGGTGGCTCCTTGCGTCAGGCAAGCCCAGAAAGCCACACTCCACATACATGTGCATTAGGAGCGCACTACAGGAAGCGAGTCGCTGTTGTCGCTGGCAGGCTCTGTTGGTTCTACCCTTCGCACGAGCCGGATGCTAAGAGAAGTTCAGTCAGAGTACGCAATGAGTACGCCATTTCGTTGTTTTTCATGTTGCGCAGAGTCCTGCACCTGTGACCCAGTGAGGTGGCAGATGCGAAGGACGCGGGTCTCATGCAAGCTGCTCGTCCTTCGTAAGAGATCCCTTGGCTCCGGTGGAGCAGGACGTTGAAAGGCTTCTCGACGTCTCCTCAGAGGCTTTGGCATCATTATGAAACCGTATGGCTCATAAGCAACAAACCTGGCTTGGCAGACATGCCAAGGAACGGCTGAGCTCACTTCTAGCATGTCCCAAGGGCATGCACCGTGGCAGCTCGGCCAGCTATCACTGGCTGTTTCGTGCTCATGTCTCTGAGTTCCTATGCCCACACGCGCGCAGACACGGCAGTCCTGTCTTCTGTTGATTGCGACTGGTTGGGGCTGGCCAGGTCTTTGGCAGACCATCGGGGCTTTGGCTTTCGAGGACGCTCGGCATGGCATTGCGAGTCCATCGGGTTGCAAATTGCGAGCATAGCCAGAGCAGACATGGCTTCTTATGAGCAAGCTTGACGCAGTGTTAAAGCGCCAATACAAACAAATGCCTGACAAGTCGTACACTCTGTCAAAGAGAGAATAACGGTATCCGGCCGGCAAAGACCGTGGGCTAGTTGCTGTCTAGAGTCTAGGTAGGTTTTAGAGCATTGACAAGACCGAACTGGTACCTCGATCGCTAGCATGTCGAGCATAGTCGCAGTCACCAGTTTATGATTTATCGCGTGAAGTCAACATCTGGTCCTTGGATGTCCTTGGTTGAATTGTGTCAGCTCTGCTGCAGTAGCAGCCCAAATGCAACAGAAGTGAGAAGCACTACAAGTCTGGACGCAGGGCAGAACATCCTGAGCACGCGACCTCTGACACTCGGTCTTCCAAGCTTCAATAATAGCCATATCTGCTTGCGGTGCCCCTTGCAGGCGGTGCTTCGAGCGGTCGATGTCGGCGTGGTTCTGGAAATTTTGTGGCAGGTCTTCTTGAGTACATTGAGCTTGCTGAGTCTGAGCACCTTGAAGTTGTTTGGCTTGGTTGGTAGGGCACCTTCGTCTGTACGGTCTTGTGGCTGGCGGAAGATGACAGCAGCCATGAGCTCAGTCTCAGCCGTAAAGCCTTCCACTGCAAGCCCACGCTTTCACAGAGTGGCCCGGCGTGGCTTCTCAGCTTCTTCTATCTTTTTCTGAGGCCTTTTCTCCGTCAGTCAGATCTATCCGGCCTGGCGGTCACTTCGCAGCCGGTGCCTATCCTTCCTTCGACGCCTTCTGGGGGACGCAGCCCAAGTACGGTCAAGTTAGTCAAGCGCAAGGATGCAATGCTACAGTAGGTTAGGGTTCGTGACTTGGCCTATTCGTGCGCGTAGAAGCCGAGGACATGGCCCTGGCGTTGCTTCCTCTGGAGCGCTCGGGCGCATCCGTGCCAGGGGCTCAACATCCCCTTCGCACGTGTCTTCCTCTGCTCGGTCTCTCTGCCTTGCCTGAGGAGCTCGCGCTTTCAGTTGAGAGCCATTGTGGAACAACTGGGCCTCTTTGCGATACTCACATCGCACCGGAGCTTCAGTTTTGCCAGGGTGGAGCCTCATCGGACAAAGCTATGAAGCATGTCTCAGCTCGTCATTGATCTCGGCTTTGGCCCGTGTCTGGCTGAAGTAGACCGGCGCAAGGACTGGGCTGCCGGTGTTTTGCTAAGCTCCACATTGGGCATTGAGCCACTTGACTGAGGGTTTCATCATCCATGGTCTGGATGGGTTGGTGTTGTGTGATGCCCGGTTTGAGTGCAACTCAGACTTGCGAAGCCCAGCAAGCTTTTTCCTTACTGGCCCAACTACATTCAATACATTTCAATATGTTTCCACGTGCAATGCTTGTGGGCAAACTGTCTCGTGAAACGATTTCGTTCTGCGAGGTTGCTGCAGCGGGCGCCCCGCGCAGCTGTGGAGGCACCCGTGCTTGTTGCCGGCCGGGCACTTGAATGATAGAAGATGGGTACTTACAGGCTTCTTTGTGGATGGTGCAGTAAGCTTGAGCTCCGTCTGAGCCCTTGCCTTGCTTTTGCTGCGGAGAAACGGAGGCCAGCCGAGCCGGAGCGTCGCCCTGGCTCCCTTGGCATCTCTGGGATGCGAGCTGCATAGGCGTCGGGGGAATTTTGCCCAAGCTCCGCTAGAACGCAGCTTCTTTGAAAGACACTGTCGAAAGCTTTGCCCTTGCAGGCTTCGGGCTCTGGGGAGCCGGCCGCCAGATTTTCCTGGCCTTGAGCTCCAAGCAGAAGGAAGACCTGAAGAGCCTACAGCACTCCGTTGCACGCTCTCTGCAGAATCTCCGGACATTCCTCGCATCGAAGATGGGCTATGACGGCTAGAAGTACCAGAGCTAGCAAGACTGTGATGGAATCGGCCACGGGCAAATTGCCGTCCTCGCTGGCCGGCTGAGTCTCCTCGTTGCTGCCTTGAAGTTCCGGGCGTTGCATCCCAGAGACCTCGGAGTGTGAAGACGAGGACGCAAGGCTCACAGCCTTGGGGCCTTTTCAGCTGGCCCTTTGGCATACCTGGGCGATGAACACTGCAAGGCAGAGTCCCTGGCGCCTTTGCGAAGACAAGAAAGCCGTCCTGCACTCCTGCTGTCGAGCCTTCGCGGGGCTGACCACCGCGCCTTATGAGCGAAGATGAGCGAAGAGTGCATTCTTTTTCACCCAAACCTGGTGGCACAGAAGGGCACTCTCTTTACAAACTTCGCCTACTGCTGCACCAAAAGCTCGTCACATGCAAATTGGTTAGCGTAGGATGCAAGACATGTGGATGCAGATCCAAGCTGCAAGAAAGGTTCATGGTTTTTCACCACGATATATCGCAAAAGGTGGTCCAGGCATTCAAGCTTCTTCCCTTGCCCTGCACCCTTTCATGTGCATCTTATGTGAGTGAACGGTCTCAAGGCTCGTTCCTCCTGTGCCGCTTTGCCGACCTGGTGCCGGCGACTCTGGTAATTGGCCCTTGCTTACGCCCGGGGCCACGGCAGTTTCGAGCAACGAAGGTAGCATTGCTTCCGGATTCGCAGCGGCGCGCAGGTCCACAAAGAAGATCTTCGAGAAGAGCAGCTTCGAGGCTGCGGGACGTCCTCGTCACCTCGTCACCTCGTCACCTCGTCCTCCCATGTCCTCCACCTTTTCTTTTTTTTTTTTCTGGTCGAGGGTTGTTTGCAAGAGGCGGCCGCGCCGCCCCCGATGCCGGGCTCGGAGGCCTTCCTGGATGCGGAGGAGAACCCGGAGGCCCGCGGCCTTTAGATTCATGTTCTCTTGAGGCCTGAAGTGCTCTCTCCCCGCTCCACAAAAGTGGGAGCAGATATTGAGTTTTTTTGTGGCAGGCGGCGACCGAGCTGCACTTATTATCGGGTTCTGAAGAAGAGTGGTGGGGAAAGCTTTATAACGACTGTGTAACGACTGTCCAACAGTTACTCGTGCGCAAAGACCCACGATTCTCCATCCACCGTTGGACTGTGCGGGTTCGCACATGTCTATATCGCATGCTCCCACTCGGTCGCTGCGAGACCTTGAAATACTCCCTGGCCCGTCCACAGTTGCCCGAAGTGCTATTCTTCAAGCAGCAACAAGCAGGGGGCAGGTGCAGGCAGCACTGCAGCAACGGCTTTTGGGTGTTCTAGGTGTCGCAACAGAAATCAAAACATCAGCGTAGTGCAAAATCGCTTTGGATGTGATCCAGACCGAGAGCCTGGCATGCAGATGGAGCCCATGTTGCATGTCATGAATTGTGGAACAAAGGAGACGCTCATGCTGATGCATCGCTGAGTTGCTTTACGTGGGACACAACAAACGCCGCCGCCAGGACACAGAGGGACTTGGTGGAGGTGCCTGGGGAGAGGAGGACGAGTCGGCTGTCAGTTGTGAGAGTTGAGCTATGTCGAAGCAAGTCTCCGTAAGGAGACGGCCCTGGATTTGGGTGCGGATATGGGTGGCGGCGACTGGGGAGGCTCGGCAGGGGCGACACCTCCTTTGATCCTCGTAGCAGCGCCTTCGCTTCCAGGAGACCTGGACCTCGGTGATTTGGGCGGCCTGCTCCCCGCATCGACTGAGCCACAGGAGGAGGCAGCGGGCCTTGAAGTCTTACATCTTGCAGAAATAAAAAACCCTCGTCCGAACAGAGCTACGTCATGTCCTTTCGCAAGATTTTGCATCTCTTCGCGCCCCAGTCATCCGCTGAAACATCATTAGCATCTTGCCAAGTGGACAGGAGCGAGGTTTGAACCTCACCCTGGCGGATAGCTGCCAGGCACAACTTGTTTTCTTGCAGTCTTTGCGATACAGCCACTACCGGACAAGCGTTTCCGTTTCCGGTCTCAGCGCGAAGCCAAGAGGAAAGAGGATCCAAGAGCCTGAGGTGCTGGCCACACAGCCACTTGAGTCTGAGCCCAGCCAGGTCAAGTGGCTCAGGAAACGCAGACTTCCTGCTGATCTCGTGGCGGCTGGTGACTTCGAGGAGGCCGTGACGCAGTCCCTGCTGCCTCGTCACAGCTGACTTTCTGTGTGGATGCTTGAGGCGCTTGGCTTGCTCAAGCGGCGGCTAGGCTTGATGAACGCCTCATCCTGAGATATCTCGAGTCTCGAAGAGTGAGCTTGGACGGTGAAGGAGGAATCTGTGAGTTTCCACTACATCGGAATGTCTTGGAGGGCCGCACGCAGCTGGGTGTGTGACTTGTTATGAAGGCAGAGCCTTTGGAGCCTATTTTCAAGCAGGCTTACTGGGCCTGAATCTCAGCTTGTCAGCTCAGCCTCCGCCGTGCTCCCACTCCTGCACATCAGCAGGCAACATTGACTTGAAGCCATGAAGTTGGCTTGTTTGTAGAAGTGAAAGGTCAACCACAGCAGTATCAACGGCACGTTTCGATCAGGACCATGCCGAAACTGCAGTGCCATCCCTTCACGCTTCGAGGCTACATGCACCGCGTTGCCCAGTCTGCCGCAAGTGGCGGACCAAGACTGCAGACAAACTGCGTGATAAGAGGCTTCGCTGTGCGGAAGTGACGTTAGCCGGAGCTGGAAAGCATCGCGTCCACTCCGGCAGTTTCCGTATTTCTTCCCGCCGCTAAGATGGTGTCGATCCACTGGCCTCTGCTATCAGAGGGTAGCATGAAGTCCAGGGAGCCCGGGCCCTGGAGGAAAAGCTCAGCGTGAAAAGGGAACATGCGCTCTTGGGCCTCATGCTGAGACACTCCTCTAGTGATGCAGGCCCCCGGATCTGGATGATTCTTTGCAGCTGCCATCAGAAGTGAGGCATCTCCTTCATGATGGGGTGCAGCTCAGGATTGCTCCCATGGTGCTCTTCACTCCACAGGCACTGAAGTCTCGTTGAACGGTCCTTCCTAGATCTTCGGGTGGAAGTCTTGCGAAAGTTTACACGATTAGTCAAATATTTCTTCGGATTTTTGTGACATACCATTCCGACGATGTGGCATGAAGCAGAGATCAATGATTTTCTTAATCATTATCTCGTGTCGTGCTTCTTGTACTTCGGTACATATCCGATTTGTCTTGCTGCTATTGCTCTCTTCTGCAGTGTGATGATGAGAGGTGATCCTGGAAAGAGTCAAGGAGGCTCACAAGATGACTTCTGCAGGAAAGTTTAACGACGCAAGGGCCTCAGAAGCTGTCGGAGCACAATTCACATGCATCTATGTTCATGCAAGAGAGCCCGGAGAGTTTAGGACCACATACATTGCAGAGCCTCTAAGACGTTAGCGATGCGACCGAGGCCCTTGCAGCCTTCCGAACTGCCCTCCAGTCCATCCCGATCTCCGTGGTGCCTTTGCAGAAGTCATACGGGTGCTGCTGTGTAAGTTGTATACTAGCAGTACTAGCATGTCGTGAAGTCAAAGGCTTCCTGTGTTGCCCCCCAACGCGTGCACAGGCTCTCATCAGATCCATGAGCACTTAGGCCAACGATGCCAACGAAGAGCGGCAGCTCACAGACATGCCATAAGCTCAGGGGCGTAACATGGCAGTGAATTGCGACACAGGGATGGTTCCAGGAGCAACTAGTGCGTTCTTCTTTGTCATTAGGTTAGGCTGCCGTTTCGACGCCAAGGATTGAGATGTGCAGAGAGTATGTGACCTTCGCGAGACTACAGGCCCGGCCGGTCAAGTCGCCATTTTCGGCCCTGTGCCTTAGCAATGCAGCCTTCAGGTGACTAGCAAGAAGCTGACTCCAGACAAGGTGGGCCGACACCTGCTCTTCTCAGAGAGTCCCGCAAAGCAAAGACAAGTGCGAAATGTTGCTGCGGTAGGCTGCGAGACAGATCGAGCTCAATGCCTACCTCACTTGCTGCAATGCTGGCATGCTTGATCATTTCTCCAGATCTTGGCAAACCAACAGAATTGATGCCCTGCTGCACAGGTAAGCTACAGCAGTTCCACCAGTTCTTGACGCTAAAGACAGCCATGGGCATCGCATTCAAGGCCTGCCTGTCCTTAGGGTCTGAACTGCTGCAGAAGATAAGGCGGACACCAGATCCCGACCCTGACACATCCTGATCGGTGCCTATCCTGCCAGAACGAGAACTACGTGACTGCAGCGTCCTTTGCAAAGAGGATGATACAGGCGAAGCGCTCAGCGGACTGGGCCTGTGTCAGGCCACGGCCCACTCGATCTGCAAGCCAGCGAGCAAGCAAGCAAGCAGCGTGTTGCTCAACATGTTGAAGCCAAATCATGCTGCTCCTGAAGTTGTCTGACGCCTCTGGAAGCTGTCCTGAAATACCTGATGCCAGCTGACATGCTGCAAGCTGAGGGTAATTTTGGCCCTGCCGACAAACACAAAGACGTGGGAAGCTCAGATCGGTTCTGGACCTCTCTTCCGACTCTCGAAGTATCGGAGTGTCACCAGATCGTGGCCTCTCTTCCAGGACGTGCAGAAAGCTAGACAAGTGCTCCAAATCTGTGAGCAGAAGGCCGGGGCGACAACTGCCAGAAGTGAGTGGATATGCAAGACAGAGATTCCTCCTTGACAGGACAGGGCGCATGGAGTTTTTGAAAGCATCTGTATTCATGTCTTTGGACGCGATTCGGGCTCGAAGCTGCTCCCCTGCCTTGCGGCCTGGCCTGTTCCCGCCGACTCTAGTGGCGGCATTGGCTGCCCGCCCCTGAGAGGGCAGGTGACCAAGCAGCTAAAGCGAGGGGAAGAAAACACAACTCGATAGTGAACCAAAGTAGCCAGTAAGAACGTAGGACCACGTCGTTCACACCTTACACTTCTACAATTATGCCAAGCGCATGGTAATTTCCTGGAGGGGCACAATGCAAGAGAGGACGCAATGCAAGGGAAGATGAAGGATCAATAAAATCAATCGGTCGAAACGTTGACTGCTGCAGAAGTAAACGGAACGGGAGGACAGACGCGCACAAATAAAGCAAGCAAGGAGAGACAATTGAACACGCTGCTACTCCTCCTACTCCTACTCCCATTCCTACTCCTACTCCCACTCCTACTCCTATTCTTACTACTCCTACCACTCCTACTCCTCCTCCTACTCCGACACTCCTACGCCTCCTCCTACGCCTCCTCCTCCTCCTACTCCTCCTACCTGTACTACTACTACTACTACGACTACTACTACTACTACTACTACTACTACTACTATTACTACTACCACTACTACCACTACCACTACCACTACCACTACCACTACCACTACCACTACCACTACCACTACCACTACCACTACCACTACCACTACCACTACCACTACCACTACTACCACTACCACTACCACTACCACTACCACTACCACTACCACGACGACGACGACTACGACTACTGCTACTACTACTACTACTACTACTACCAGCACCACTACTACTACTGCTACTGCTACTACTACTACTACTACTACTACTACTACTACTACCAGCACCACTACTACTACTGCTACTAGTGCTGCTGCTGCAGACGCTACCACCACAACAACTACTTCTACTACTTTTACTACTGCTAATACCACTACTGCTACTACTACTACTACTACTACTACTACTACTACTACTACCACTCCTGCTGCTGCTACTACTACCACTACTACTACTAGAATTACTACTACGACAACTACTACGACAACTACTACGACTACTACTACGATTACTACTACTGCTACTGCTACCTACTTCTACTGCTACTGCTACTGCTGCTGCTACTACTACTACTACTACCACTACGACTACCGCTACTACTACCGCTACTACTACCGCTACTACTACTGCTCCTGCTCCTGCTCCCTGCTCCATGCTCCCTGCTCCTCCTCCTCCTCCTCCTCCTCCTCCGCCTACGCCTAGGCCAAAGTTTAAGCCTACGCTTACTCTCACTCCTGCTACTCCTGCTACTCCTGCTACTCCTGCTACTCCTGCTACTCCTGCTACTCCTGCTACTCCTGCTACTCCTACTCCTGCTACTCCTGCTGCTACTGCTCCTGCTACTGCTACTGCTCCTGCTGCTGCTGCTGCTACGCTCGCTGCAGCTGCCGGTGCTGCTCCTACTCCTGCTATCGCTACTGCTACTTCTTTTAGTGCATTTAGTACTAGTACTGCTACTACTACTACTACGACTACGACTACGACTACTACTACTACTACTACTACTACTACTACTACTACTACTACTACTACTACTACTACTACTACTGAAGATTTTTGATATCGTTGCGACTCAGATCATGGCTATGGCCGGGCTCTCCCTCTCTTCTTCCCTGCCTCCCTGACTTGAAGGATACCATATGCCTTTGTGAAGATGTTCAGTGCGCATCGCGCAGAATGAAGCGTGGAAAGAGTTCGGGACGTGCACCCAGACGCACCCACGCCCTACGTCCCTAAGCCTCAAAGCAACACCCAAAGCTCGGCCGGTAAAGAACGAGAGTACCCGAGGACTCAGATGGCAGAGCCTGCGGCAAAGAAGGCCAAGGTTGAGGCAGCTTCTCTTGAAACGAGTAGGAAAGGTGTCAAAGTTTTCAGCAATAGGTCATCGTTACGGGTTTACGTACAAGCTTTTGTTTCATTTCCCTGAGATTCGGTAGCGCCAATTCGAACGTGCCGCTTGAGCCACCTGACCCGCTTAAATTCTACATATCACTATGTTCAAGTGCATGCGCCACTTTCCCCGCTTGAAGCGTGCATGTCGCTAAGCCGGTTCGGGGGTGGGCATTGCCGCGGGACGGGTGGGCATCACATGTGCCACTTGTTTTTGGGGTTTTGGGGTTTGGTGTTTTCGAGTTTAGAGCTTGACTTGTCAGGATTTCGGGTTTGGGCCTTTTAGGGTTTCGGGTTTAGGGGTTTCAAAGTAAAGGGGTTTTGGGAGTTTTGGGGTTTAAGGTTAGATTAGGCGGGTTTTTCAGGGTTTAGGATTTTAGACGTAGGGTTTTGGCGACTTGGCCGCTTGAATTCTCCATATCGCCATGTTCAAGTGGCGTGCCACTTGAAATGAAGGGAAGATATCGCTGCGACTGTTCAGGGGTGACTTGTGTAGCTTCAGCAGTGGGCGTCACTTGTGCCACTTGTTTTGGGGGTTTGGGGGTTGTCGGGTCTAGGGTTTGGATTTTTTAGGGTTTAGGGGGTTTCATGGTTTAGGGCTTTCAGGATTTAGAGTTAGTGCTTAGGGGTTTAAGGTGTTAGAGTCTCGGGTTCAAGGTTTTAGATTTAAGGTTTCAGGAGCTCGACCACTCGATTTCTGCATATCGCAGTTTTCAAGCGCATGCCCACTTGGCGTGTGCATCATCAGAGGGTTCAGCGGTGGGCGCCACTTTTGCTGCTTGTGGGGTGGGCGTCACTTATGCCAGTTGTTTTGGGGGTTTGAGGTTTTGGGTTTTCGGGTGTGGTGTCTGGTTTAAACGGTTTTCGGGTTTAGGGTTTGGGCTTTTTAGGGTTTAGGGTTAGTTTTTCAAGGCTGAGGGTTCATTTAGACTAAGGGTTGGCGGGATTCGACGACTTGAATTATGCATATCGCTATGATGAAGTGGCACGAGCCACTTTCTCCGCTTGAAACGTGCATATCGTCTGCGACTGTTCATGGGTGGGCCCGGCGCCACTTTTGCCGCTAGAGGGCTGTGCGCCACTTGTGCTGTAGGGGTTTGGGGTTTTCGGGTCTATCTTTTGGGTTTCTAGGGTTTAGGGTTTAAGTTAAGGCTTAGGGAGTTCAGGGTTTGGGGTTGCAGGGGTTTTAAGGTTGAGGGTTTTGGGTTGAGGGTTTTAGATTTAGGGTTCCGGGGTTGACCTTGAGTCCAGTAGCAAAAGGGTTCCGGCGTTTAAGGTTTAGTGCATTGTTACTGGTATCAGTAGTATTACCTTTGCTGCCACTGCGACGTGTACTACTCAAGACCTCGCGCACTGCAAGTGGCACAAGCGGTACAAGTGGCACAAGTGGGAGTGAAACGGCGATGCCAAGCGGCACAAGTGGGGTAACACGAAATCCCCGTACGTGAAAGAGGTTCAAGCGGCCCAGGTGGCCAAGCGGCAGAAATCAGATGGTGGTTCCCGAATCCCCACTGTTCTGTTTGTTTCTCATGCTTCGTTTTTTGCTCTATGGTTGCGTGGGGTTCAGGGAGCGTGAGGGTTTCAGGCTGGTTTATGGTTGAGCAACCAACACTGCACTGTAAGCGTCAAGGGAGATGCAGGCAATGATTCACATCTATCACTGGCAAGCCTAGCAGACATCCCAAGGTCATGGTGTAGAAACCCGTGCAAACCATGCTGCTTGCGAGATGCTCCATATGTGCATACATAGCCTAAGCATATAAAAATGACATTGACATTACATGAGTTCGTACGTATGTTTCAGTAACTGTATTTGTGTATATGTACTCCCACGGTGCATCTTTACGTATATTGCAAGCCCGTATGCTGCTTCCCACCCACCACTCCTTGTCAGAGTGCGGAAGGCTTGGAATAGTAATCCCTTTTAGGGTGCAGTGCTTGCTCAATCATATTTGGGTTTAAAGTTTACGACCCAACATATCCTGTCAAGATTCGGCGGAAGGTTTGGGATTTCGGTATCTCATGCTTTTTTGGGGGTACTGCGGTTGTGCTTTTAGAGGACAGCTTTTAGGAGCCAGGGTTTGCCACACAAGAAGGTTTGCCAAATATCATCCCGTTCGGGTGTTGGGTTTGCAATCCAACCTACCCGACTTTGGCCTTTGGGGACATGGTGCTCCGGGCTCATCATCTTCTGCTGAATCTTTGGGTTTAACCCCTTTTGGTTTAACCCCTTTCGGCTTCATGTTCCCGGGCCAAGTGGAGTTGCGGCTCTTGGACAGCCCGTCTTCCGAACCGTTTTTTGAACGTGAATTGTTATTGCTGGCGTTTGGGGTTTCGGGGCACCAACCTAGTATTGAGGATTTGTCACCTGCCTGACTTCTTAGCCATATCCCGTTACGGCTGTGAGTTTGAGGACCCAGTCATCCCCTCAGCGGTTTGGGGTTTGCCGGGGTCACCTCCTTTGGGGCTTCGGGCTTGCCACCCACGTGCTCTTACAACCAGCAGCCCGTCAATTCACACGAAAGCATGTAAACAACTCGTATGACCCTCTTAACCTATGGCGCTCTTTGACTCATGCGCGGAAGCCTTGGACCCTCCTCGCGCGCTCAGAAGAAGAAGACCTTCGAGGAGCAGCGCAAGGAAGTCGTGGAGGAGAAGGGCCGAGAGGCGCAGTGGGTCCCGGGGGTCGTTCTGCAGTGCTAGCTGCTAGTGCATGTTCCGATATTGGGCGATGATTTTGAAGGCTGCTGGAATCTCAATAATCTTTTGGCGGTTTCGATCCGGTGAGCGTCGGAAGGAGCTGCTGGATGGTCTCTTTGAAGCCTGGGACTACGATGGCTCTGGCACCTTGACGCTAGAGGACCTCAATCCTTGCCTTCTCTCCGGGGTTAGTGCAAGGCTTTCGAGCAGACGGTTTCAGAGACAGGAGATCCTGCCTTTCTACATGAAGAGCTCCCAGAAGCACGATGTTCTGGAGCCGCAGGCCCGAGGAATCTGGTCAGTGCTTTTTGTTCGAGCTATTGAAGCACGCTTCTCTGTATGAGACTCTCACGTTATCTGATAGTAGACTTGTACCTCTCCTTCCTGTCTTTGTCGATGGGCGCGTTGCAGGTCCGATCAGGCTTTGAGAAGTTCTGTTCATCACAAGGCCCTGCGACAAAACTAGGCCGCAGTTCACTGGAGTTCCAATTCCTGGGGCTGACTGACTTGCTTGGGCAGGCATCGATCCTGCGAAAGGCTTAGACAAAGGGGTCTTCAAGACTCTCGGTGCATGGTCTGTCAAGGAGTCGGGCAGGATATCCGAGGGGTCAGACGTGCAGGTCTGCGTAAGAGAACGTTTCCAATTCACGACCAGGGAGTTGTTGAAGTTGCTTGCAGTTGTTCGTGCCGCCCAGGAAATGGCTGAGCAAGCTGTCCGAGGACCAGCTCGCAGCACACTATGTGCGCAGCTTGACTGATACAATTGCTCCTCCAAGATGTTGGCAGAGAGGTCCTAGCGTTGTCCCTGCAAAGCCGCAAGGGACCTGTGCCATCTGCAAACTTGTTTAGCTCTCTGTTGACCTTCTTGCTCACAGGCTCGCTCGCATTTCTCTCACTCATTCACTCACTTACTCACTCAGTCACTTACGCAGGCACGCACGCACGCTCGCACGCTTGCACTCACTCTCTGATCCTCTCTCTCAATTGCCACAAGTAACATGCTCTACCGAGGACATGTACAGGGGTGGACAGATGATCCCTACAAAATGAACATGAACCTGGCGGTGATCAAGGAAACCGGTGCCATGAAACGGGGCCGACTCTTGGGTGCTGGCATGCAGGTAGCACGAGGTAGAATGAACGGCTTGGGGCTTTCCGGCTGTCTTGGGCGCAGAAGTATGAAACTACGTCGGACAGACCGCCCACCAAATTGCTGGAACAGGGAACCACCGCTGGGCTGCACTGCAGGACTTCAGAGGCAAAAGCATCAAGGAGATCCTTGATTCTCCGGTGCATGCCATTCGAGGCACAGAGGACAGTATTCCTGCGACAGTACAGCTGCACTATATCCGGCGTCTTTCCCATCGTCAACCTGCCTTGGCCTGTAAGGCCATGGTGGGAGCTTATACTTATCCATACAGTACCAGAAGCTCGATCTGAAAGCCTTATCTTACCGTGTTGGAACGGTGTATTGCCTGAGTTAGCTCTATGCTCACAGCTGATGGTTTATCGATGAGAAAATCTGGCAGGCCTCTCCGGTGAGAATGGCGAGGCTACCCTGGAGAAGTTGGGCATCAAAACAGTCCGTGAGCTTGCAGGACTCATGCGAGCTTTTTGCATTGAGCCGCCGTGTCCTTCAGTCCGCAGTGCAAGCTTGGAGCTTGGTGCCACTCCGAGTTTTCCCGATTCAACACATGCGATGCTTCAACGACCATGGTGTAGCAACTACTTTTTCTCAAAGTTTATCAACAATAACAACTCCTGTTCAGCAGCCAATCTCGCCAATGATCCATACATCAGCTGGTTCGCAGTTCACAGTGCTGCTTGCCTGTGTTGCTTCGTTAGGGTGTGGCCGGTCGCAGTCATCCTGAAGTGGCAATCTGGGGTGAACAGATCTAGTGCGGTGCGATGCTCCAGAGGATGGCGAGTCTTCTTGCTGGCCCGGGCCATCGTGACAATGGCGCTACTCGGCTCAACTTCAAGAAAGCCTTGCCTGGCCGAGTCGTGGTTCACAACCCCTTTTAGGCCGACGGAAAACACCGACGAGGATGACAAAGACACGAGCGTCCCTTCTGCCAAGATGAACATCCGCTCCTCGGTGTTTGCCAATGAGCTCCAGCGTAGATTGCACGAGGCAACTTAGCTTCCACTGCACAGGCGTTTTCCTATACCGGATGTCGTCATGTCGTGTTGTCACCTTCATCTAAGACATACCGCATACGGCCCCAGGTTGGTTTCTCCAGGTTTACAATTGTGGGTCGTCCCTCTCATCAGTCCGACACCATGGAACCAAGGCAATATGCTAGATGCGGAGTACGAGACGGCGCCGCTGAAGCAGGCCGTTGAGTTGTTAGCAATGTCGGAGAAGAGAAGCACTCTGTTCGGGCTGTTTTCTACGCGTTGCAGAATGCCCTTAATTCCCGTATTTCGTTGTAACCTGCAGAAGCAGCATGGCGTATGTGCCCCACTTGTATTTTAGGGTTTAGGGTTTACCTTCTCGCTGTCGGTGCTTGTTACACCTGCCATCGAAATGTTCCCGCCCAAAGACTCCCCGTTCAGGGTAGCTTCCACTTGGTTTGGCAAGCCCTTCTTCGCCCAGTTCAGATTGTTTTCCTCTGACGAAAGATCTTGCTGCAGGTGCTTGACCTGCCGGTGTCGGCACTGAGCATCCTGCCACCAGAAGGCCCGGGCTCTTTCTCTCGTGGCCAATACCTGGGCTTGGGCCGACGACACCTTTAGGGGTCTGACAAACTGCTGTGTGGTTTTCACAGCACTCGCCGTGCCTGCAGTCCAGTTCTAGCAGGCGTGGAAGTGCTGGCGAGCATCAACATCCGGACAATCAAGCACTTAGGTGGGCGTTGTCCCCGAGAGGGTGCATCTAGATATTCGTAAGGCATCATGTCCGATATAGTCTGCGAGTTTACGCGTGCTGGCTCACTGCCATGTCGTCAGGTACTCGGAAGTACTTTCACTGGGCAAATGCGATACTCGAGCTTGAGCAGTACGAAGCCTGAGCCATCGCGCTGGCTTCGACTCTCGCTGTGACCTCTTGTTAACCAGGGTCCCTTCTGAGGGGGCGTGCTTAATGTTTCCATGCAGGCTTGGTGGCCGTGGCTAGCACGCGAGTTGCTGCCAAACGGCACAAATCCATAGAAGTCTGCTGATAGCCGGACTGTCGCACCGGATTAGCAAACCCGGACGGGTGCATTACTTTTAGAAGCACAGTAGCGCTGGCCGCGCCAGCTATCGATTCCCTCGTATATCCGTACCATAGGTCTAATGCCAATAGAACCGTGCCTCGCCGAAGCGAAAAAATGAACGACTGTGGGCAGGCATAGCCAAGCCTGAGGGAATGTTTTTCCTTGAGATGGTTGTTGGCATTTGTTTCGCAGGCAACAGACAAGCACCAGATCAACTTTGATCCGAAGGCTTCCACGTGCTTTCTGCATGTCAGCCGTGGCTATCTGTGGCTTTCGTCAGGGATTCGATGATGATGCTCGTCTCACATTTGCACCGCATGCTTGAGTCTGGAAGTCCCCTTGTTTCCGGTCCTCCCAGCTTTCCACTCGCAGCCGACTGTGAAGGCCTTAATATGTCAATCAATCTTGGGATGTGCTATGCGTATGGCTTTTTTGCGCAGGCAAGCGCGGAGGAGGTCAGGCTTTGTAGCGGATCCTTCACCGCCATCGGCGCCGCTGACAAGTCTGTGTCGTGCTCGCCTCGATACAGACTTTCGTGTTTCGTTTCATCGCCTTGGGCCGTGTAGGTAACCGATGAGGTTGGCTAAGCCGTAAACCGTGCTTTCGTTTTCGACGGCCTATATGGTGGACCCTCGAACAGACGTCACTGCCATCGTCTGGCTGAAGTTATGACGGTCCCTTCCACCCATCCCGTGTGCCTTGAAGCTTCCAGGTGCCCGTATTGTGGTTCCACCTACGATATCTCCTGGAAGGGCAAACTGCAGCAGCCTCAGAGAGTTCCAGCTGCTGAGAGGAGCCGGCAAGATACATCCAATCCACGTTCGATCCGAAAGCTCCAGCCGCAAACCAGCATGCTGTCAGCTGCAACCGCCGCACTAGGTGTGAAACCTGCCAACTGGCGGAGATCGGCGCCAACACGCCGCAGGCCCAGAGCGCAAGGCCAAACCATTTCTATAGACGCAGCTCTCGATTTTACCGGTGATGCACCTGCGGAGCTATTTAACAGGTGAAGCAGACTCGGTCAACACCTGCCAGATTCATCGAAGTCCAGAAAGCGGCCTAAAGCAGAAGGTATAAAGCTTCGATTCACCGACTAAGGCTTGGAATCCAGCTGAGACCGATCTGAGGCCAATGGAAACTTTCGATGGATGACTTCGCGTGGGGAAAGTTTCAGAGCTTCGGCGTGTCAGAGTTCATGGTTTGTTGGACAGGCTCAGCTTCCAGCTGCAGTTTTTTGAAGCGGTCACGGATTTGCTGAGGAGAGATCTGCTGGGCTTCCCGATTCTGGATTGCCGGGGTTGTCCTTCGATGGGGCGGATGTCAGAGATGCAAGATGTAGACTCTGATTCCGCAAGGGCTAGAAGGGCCAGAACGACGGCAGGATGAGCTGGAAAAGGGGCATCGGCTAGATGTGGATTCTGTGAGGCCTGGCTTTCGGAGAGCGCAGCCGGTTCGGAGCAGCGTTGAGCCGTGCCTGCACTCTGGAGCGCAAGCGCCCAGCGGTTTCTTCACCAGAATTGGTTCGTTGCAGAGCGCGAGAAAGCATAGGACCACCACTGGATATGTTTGGTAGACTTTGCTTGGCCGAGAAGTTTCACACCATTCCAGTCAGCTCTGCTCAGAGTGATGCCTGGAGATGAGCCCGCCCTGTCCCGACCTGTGCAAGCCCATCCAGTTTTCAGGCATATAGTGACATAGTGGCTCAACTCCAGACGCCACAGTCTAGGCAGCGCAGGGCATAGTGAAAAAGTAGGCGTCTCGAATCCGTGCAAGTGCCAGCGAGGCAGCAGCAGACACACTTACGATCCAAGCCGTGTAGAAACAGTGCAGGAGCCTCCGGTACATGCGCTGAGGAAACCATTGTTTTGTCTTGCGTGGGCAACCTTGCACATGAGGCAGGCAGAAATGCAAGCTACAGATCAAGTGTCTATGTCGTAGGAGCCAGCCGCAAGCTTCACCAGCTCCCCAAAATTCTCGGCAGAAGATGAAGGTGCTGCCGACCAACGAGATTCGTGAGGCATGGATGCGGCATCGCCGGATTATGGCTGATGCGGTCCGGAGTCTCTCTCGCGGCAAACAGGAAAAGAGTTGGCGTTTGCTCCATCGCAGACTGGTGCATGTAGTTGGTCTATTTTGGGCCTGCGGATTCTGCTGTATAGGTTCGCAACCAATCTTTCGGGGCGGCGGGGTTCCCAGGACAGCCTCAATCAATTGCCCCTTCGAGGCTTCACGCTCTTTGACGGCGCTTTCGGTAATGTTGGTAGTACGGAAGCAACAATCATCCTTGCAGGAAGCCACTCGATGTCTTGCTGTCTTGGATGTCGGCATGGCTCAAGCTTCACACACGTTTTTTACGTTCTCTGTTTGTCATGACGCCTCAGCGGCGAAGACGATGCCCCTCAGCTCAGCATTCTACGAGAAGTGTTGCTGTGCCTAGTCTCGTCTCAAAGATGTCCTGAAACTGTGAGATGGCTTCCGGAGGTGCGATCCCGGTCATGGCGGCGCTTCTGACCGTCCTAGCGGTCCCCGCGCCTCTTGGCTGCTCCCGGAGCTACTAGTAGCACGTTGAGACCAGGCGATTCGGTGACAGCTCGCAGTCGAGCTGCTACTTGTAATCTGTGCACACCTGTCGTCTCTGGAAGAGTCAGTCCCAAACTTGATGCAAAGTATGCGAAGCCTCCATGCTTACTGGTGGCCACTGTGTGCACTGTACCGAGGCCTAGTTTCGTGCCGCCGCGCGGCCCCGTGCGGCGATCTAGTGTCGAGGCTGTGGTGATCATCGGTTTCTCGGGTACACCCTGGACCCAATGGCTTGCGCCGGTAGTGCTGCTGTCCCGTCGCCGCAAGGATAGACATCTAGATTTCATGTTTGGTGCCTTCCTTTGAAGCTTGGCTTCAGGCACCTGTCTCAGTCCTGTCGTTGGCGCTGTTGGGGGCGCCCCCAGCTTTGGCGCAAGACGTGCTGGGCGAGACCCGCGCTCTGTTTTGTCAGGGTTTTAGACTTTGATTTGCCCTGGAGGCTAGGGTTGGGCTCTCATCTTCAGTGCTTCCGTCGATCCGTGCAGCAGTTTCTCACTTGGGAAGTGGTTTTGGAACGTGTAGGAAAGCTTTTCAATGTCCCCGGCAGGATTGCGTCAGTGCAGCGGATTCGGAAAGATCCGCCTTTCTTCTCGCAGTGGCCGCCCCTCGTACAGGCTGGCTCCATCACTTTGTGATTGTACAGATCTTCACGTCGCAGCAGAAGAACATCGGTTCCGGCTTGCCACAAGCGATCGCTTTCGGGAATCCCTAACAGTTCTAAGGTTTCGATTCCTGCATGGCAAGACTCCCTTCCGATGGCAGATGTGTGATGTGGGGATGTTGCGCTGTTTGATTTGCTCGGCTCCTTCCCTTCGACCATCTGTTCTCGGCGCTTGAGGTGGCTGTGCCCATTGTGCTCATTTTTGTCTTCGGAGCTGCTGGCTCCATCTTGTTTGGTGGTGAACTGATTGACAAAACGCTCCTTGGTATCATTATTACGACTTCGGAGGTTTGTAGCATGAGCACTGAGCAAGTGGCTGGCCGAATGCAGCCGCATGGTGTGTCCGTGAAAATATTGTACTGCTATGAGCCATGCGAGTCAATTATGGCGCTGAATCCAACAACTTCTGGCTATGGCTGCAGTGCAAGATTTCAAGTAAGAGCGCCGGAAGCATCAACTCAGCGTTTGTCTCCTTCACCACGCTGCAGGACCATCAGACGTAAGAAAAGGCGAGAGCGCGAGCAGAAGGACCGTCACTGAAGTTGCTGACTCCGTTGCAGCTTTCACGTCTGCAGGAGATGAAAGCCCTGATCCAGGTGGCCTCGGGGCCTCGGGTGTTCTAGCCAGAGCTTTCTGCGATGGGTCCTCATGGTGTGTTGCTTGCCGTGTTGCAGGCTGTTGCTAGACAAGAGGCCGCTGGGAAGGCTGGCCCGTTGAAACTTGCACGAAGTAAGTCTGTGTGTGTGTGTGTGTGTGTGTGTGAGAGCTTCGGGGAAGCGCTGTCTTTGCGCAGAGAGCGATTTGGAAAAACACCGAAGGCAGCACCCGCCGGCAAGGCGGCCCCCGCCCCGGCCCCCGAGGTGCCCGAGAAGTGACCTTCCCAATCACTCTACTTCGAAGGCTCGAAGTCGGCTTCGACAGAATGTCTAGCAGAATCTAGCACCATCGCCTGTCTGCGAAGCATTTCTGTTCCTAAGTCCGCATGTTGACATCGAGAGGGGGTGAATCCAAGTAGTGCCGGTAGTAAGCTGGACTCGAATCTGGCTACCAGAGACCTCCGGGCAAACTTGCTCGCAAACTTTTTGAAGTCAGGGTTCTGCGCTGGAGCCCGTCGGGTCGGACTCCAGGCGTGAACCATCGTGAACCATGGTCTCCAGTCGTTTTCGGGACACCAGCTTCCCAGAATTGTCAGCCTTTCCGGAGTTGGTCCATGTGGCAAGGTGCCAGGGACCGACGCTGGGCCGCCGGGGTTCTCCTTCCGAGCTACTGCAGGCTATACCGTGGCCTCGGCCCCCAGCAATTCCTGATCTAGCTCGGAAGGACCTCATCATTGGCCGTCTCAACCGACCAGCCAGTGGCTTTTGCTCGACATGCAAGCTTGAGCTTCTTCTGGCCATTGTTTTAACAAAGAGCGAGCAGTTCAGGAGGCCTGCACAGTTCCACTTGGACGCATGTGCTTAATCCCAGGAAGCGAATGTTGTGTTTGAGGAAACCCAGGTTCAAGCCACCCAGCATGATGGGCATGCTTCGAAGGTGCTAGTTTCCAGCTTTCATGATGTCTGCTAACTGCTGC